GGATTAGCCAATATTATGACGCTGTTGAGTTCATTGTTGATAATCACGTGACTATTTGGATCTGTTTGTCACAATCAACCAACGTTCAAACTTGTTCATTTCTTTCTAAGTACATTCAGCCGGCGCTCTCCTCTCTTTGCATCTGTTTGAACTACATAACTGTAAGTGCTATTTGCCGTGTCATCTACTAATTTGAATATATCTATAATAGTCTCTCTTCACCATGGTGAAGTCTAAACAAACCTGCAAGAAGTCCACCGGTGGCACCGCGCCACGAATTGCCTTGTCGTTGCCGGCATCTACTGGAGCGGTCACTGCGCCGGGTGAGCTGAATGTGAGAGAGCCGTCTGAACACAACGAGGTAAGTGATTAGTTACCTACTATTTGCACTAACACGCGTCTTTATTTGCAGTTTTGTCTCATCTGCAGAGACGGTTCTGTAGGGGAAGATTGCCTCTTCCTCTGCAGCACCTGTCCGCGGGTGATGTGTTCAAACTGCATGAACATCCCGCCTGCCAGTGCACACGCGGTGCAGGCCGATGACGTCACGTTCGTCTGCATATCTTGCCATGTTGGCATGGAACGACACGGGCGCGCATCTCAGTCGCCCTATTTTGTAAGTTTTTTCGTTTATTTCATGCTAACTAACATTCACTTCATTTTATAGGGTTTTTACAGGAAGGGGCAACCGCTCCTTCCTTCATTCCTCCAAATTCGTGCTACGTTGGAGGTTTCACTCCATTCCCAACTGTCTTCGGCACCCACGCTCATGCTCCATCTCGTCCTCGTCGACCACGACGTCACCGGCGGCTGTTTCGAACTGGCCTCCGAATTCCTTCGGCCATACTTCCCCAGCGGAGGGTTTGAATTTCGGTCCATCGTGTTCGACATCGGCAATGCCTCAAAGATCGACGAGTACCGGTTGCAGGCGACTGCCATCATCCAGTCGCTGATGAGCTCCAACTGGGCTCGTGTCGTCGTCGCCATCACTAACCACACCGACAACGAGCATGGAGATCCATTTATTGGGTACGAGGGCAACAAGAAGTCATACGTTTCGGCACGCGTTCACTCTGTAAGTGGCATTTTTTTGACTAACATTGTATTTGCTCATTTGACACCAAAGGTTCTCGATGTTCTGCTTTCACCTTGGCATCCCCTGATTCATGGTGCCGCGGAATCATACTTATGGCTGTTTTCGTGTGGCGCGCTCATCAACAACGTCACTTCCTTTTCAGGCTTGCAACAGGCGGTCATAGAGTAAGTCCATTTGATCTTATCTTTGCAAATACTAACTAACCCTAACAGTCATCGCATCACAGCCACTATTGGCTTTAATGCTGTTCGTTTTCAGCCGAGTTTCGCCACCCACCTTTTGCTCGCATTCGCGGAGCTGGTCATCATCGAGTGTTTGCCCATTCACATCGTCTTCCCTGACATGTTGGGCCAGTCCTACAAACTTGGGCGCCACACTGACGTGTTCTTGCTGATGCCTGACAACTCAGGTTCATTGGCCGTTACCAAGTTCGCCTGGACGCATTTGAACTTCGCCCTGGGGTCAGTACCTGCCGGTCCAGTGCCCACAGTGTGGGTGGAGTAACGCCTGGTGTTCTGTCAACATGCACAAAGATTACATCTTTGAATGCAAGAATGGCCAATGTAGGAAAAAGTATGTATTCTCACAACCACCTCATTCCAGGATCCTTTTGCCAGGCAAAAGACCTGGCTCCTGCTGGATTTCGGTTGTCTTGAGGCCCATGCCTAGTGTCCCTGATGAGGATGAGGATTAGGATACAATTATTTTGTCTTAGCTTTTTCGTACATCCCTTCATGTTTCATTTTTCTTCATCTTACTTGATTAGATACCCTCACCGCTCAATGGAAGTATAACGTGTTTTGGATCTTTTTACCTGATGTGAATTTGTCTATTATCTACACTGTCTAACTCCACTCAATGGAAGTATAATGTGCCTTTAATCTTGTTACTTGATGTGAATTTGACCGTCTCAATATATCCAATTTGATAATTGATTCAAGATAAAATTGCAGGTAGGCTGGTACAGGCGGTAGGAGGGTGGCTAGCCGAAATTAATTTGAACACCCATGTTTATCAACAATAACGTGTGACTTTTATGAAAGTCACACGTTATTGTTGATAAACATGGGTGTTCAAATTAATTTCGGCTAGCCACCCTCCTACCGCCTGTACCAGCCTACCTGCAATTTTTATCTTGAATCAATTACGATGTCTACCGACTGGTCTATTGCCTTTAAGCCAATTCTCGACCTTCACTCTAAGGCCATTTTTGCTGCAGGTTCCTCATCTGTTGGAAAGCCTGTGGTGAGGAAGATTCGGAGGGCCATACTAGCTGCTCAAGACGAGCAAGAGGAACCCATTGCCTTGCCTACTTCCTTGAAAAAGGTCACAAAATTTTATACTGTACATGTATTTAGTTGTCTGATGATATACATAAATATTACCTACAGGCAATAAAAGAATACTATGCCAAAAGTCTCAAAGACAAGGAAGAGGCAGACGAACGTGAGGCAGCGAGTCGCCAAGAGAACCATCTTTCTATAAGAAACCCCTGTCTGAGTGGGACGTAGCACAGAAATTATTTAAGCAGGAGATCGACTCATATGACAAGGCCCAACAACAGAGTAAAGGCTTGGAGTATTCAATCAAGTACCGCACTGGGAATGCCAGGGAGTGGTTCAACAACATGACACCTTCACAACAGCAGGAGGTCAAGTTTGCCATGAAGAAATGGAATGAGGAGGGGGCACCAGAAGAAACTCAGGCAATGTAAGTTTTACTTCAAATCTACAGTTATTCCAGTCTAACACTTTGGCTTGAGATATCGTAAGAATAACCTCAAGAAAATTCTGGAAGATTTTGCAGAGCAAATTCAGCGCACCATGTCATATCCCGTGTTCTGGGTCCGGACCTATCACACTCATCATTTCCGGATTTCCGGATCCGGCCGACTTCTATGTATTGTCCGGATCCGACCCGCGTCTAACTTCCGTGCCTTATCCCTTTGGTATTTCCCTTATCAGTTAGTACACTTTATTTTCCGTCCCTTATTCATTTCCGTCTTCATTTTACTAAGTTCCGATAAACTAGTGATAGTCGTCCCATATGTTTTCTCCATAGCTTTACATAGCCTCGCACTGCACTCACTGTTCTCCGTTATGTCCTCAGTAGTATATAAACCCTGTACAGTCTCTGTAGTTTCCTCAGTTCAAATATCATCTTAGACTCTGCTCATTACCTCCTCCGTCCGACTTGAGTTATCCTCTCGTCGACCTCCGCTCGTCTTAGGATTGATTCCTATAGACTTGTCACCTCCGCCTCTACCTTTGGTAGTCCTCCGCTGTTTCCTTTCTAGTTCGGACTTCGTCCGGATTAGTCTTATCTCTTGTTCCCAAACGTCCGCCGGAATTCCCGTGCATCGGACATCGCCCAACGCCCTCCGGACATCGTCCGGTAACCTTCGGACATTGTTCGACAGCCTTCAGAAGTTAGGGGCACGTACTCGGGTAAGGGGCACAGCGCACGAGCTGAAGCCAAGCCCTTCGGATCCGACCCTTGAGCACATTCTTAACAACCATGGGTTGTTGCATAGTAATGCTTGTTAGTCATAAGAAAAAAGCTAGTCAGACATTGTCCATCAGTCTGTAAGTCATCAAATCAACATGGAAATCTCAAGACTAACTAAACTACTATAGACACGAAACTACGCCTCAGAATGCCAAGAAAATTTTTTCTGTGAGCTCGAGTGGTATCAAGGAGTGGGCTGCAAATGGATTTGAATCCTTCGGAGAATGGTCTAAGACTGAATTTTGTATGTGTTTCATTTGATTTTAAATATCATGCTCACTGACTATTAAATTGATAGACCCTTCAGAGGATTCAGACCATGTGGTGTAGAGACTGACATCTCTATGGCCTCGTAGAGGTCTAATTTCCGATGCATGTTGAATGCTAATCATTATCTGAATCATTCCCTATCATATCCGACTCAATACGCACCAAACCCGAAAACATCGGACATCGGACATCGCATCAGACTATCGGACTTCACTTGTACTCGTCCTACCTATGTCCTGCCTCATTGCGCTAGCCCCCACTAGGTGCGTAGTTACTTGTTTTCCCATCGCTAACATTGTAGACCACATTATTACATGTCTGCAGCACCTCATGTCTTATTACATAGGACATCGGATCCGAAAATATTGCGCTACTACTTTCGCCTATAGGGTTCCGGACTTCTACGTATCTACATAAATACTGGACTCCCCATAGCATTACCATCATCCAAGTAGAGGGGAGCAGTTCCCCGACGCTTAGTGGTCAAACCCGATATTCGTAGTTCTTAGTTGATATTGCGAATATCATCGCTCTTTTCATTATCCGTATCAGTCATTGTTATTATTGCGCACACCGCTCGCTCTTCCGATGCTTGCTATAGCGTTACTATTAGTTTCCGACACCCCGAACCCGATGTAGAAACAACAATACTGAGAGGAACAAATGAATGCTCCAAACTGTATCTATAATGTTGTGAGGTCGCGCGTTGCCTAGTCTGCTATTCTTGAGAAGACAAGTACGTTCGACCCTAAAGGGGAAGCGAGTGCAGCAAGGTTCTAGGAGTAGGCGCTGAAGGCGCTACTGGTCAGCCAATGCGAAGTGCGAGAAAGCGCGCAGGTGCGCGCGAGGCGCGGGAAAGCGAAGGTACGCGCGAGGCGCGGGAAGCGCGCGTGAGCGGAGACAAGTGAGAGTAAGTGTGAGTTTGCTTAAGTGGTGATTAGATGAATAACAAGAGATACGAGCGCGAGGTGTCAAAGAATAGATTGCAACTATATTCTCTAGGTGGTAAGTGGGTAAGTGGGAGGTAGAGTCTAAGTTGGAAAAGTTCCCTAATAGTATGTAATGCTGGCGCTTATATACGGCGCCTAAGCGCTGTCACGCGGAGCCGAAGCGCTACCGAGTAAGGTATGTAAAGATATATGTATGTAAGTAAGGGTCCATGATATAAATAAAGGTGGAATGATATGTAAATAAGGGAGATGGAAATACACGCACTAGAGAGCTTGGTGGACAGTGGATGGATGCTTCCGGAAAGCTGGCGCTATAGGGCGACCAAGCGCGGGAAAGCGCGCGCACGTATACATCGTAAAGCGCGGGAATGGTGCGCGCATGGCGCGCGTTGCGCTCCCTAGTGAATACTGCCATATCACACCATGAGAGGCATGAGTCTCTACACCGAACCCGATAACCCGAAACCCCGAAAACATCGGACCCAACGCTTTTGCATCGGACATCGTAATTATACCTTTGGACATTGTTTCCCGTGCTCGGACTATTGACCCCACATCACTCACTTACCCCCAAGACTATTCCCAGACTGCAGACCCCTGGGTCGAACGCACTTGTCAGGCAAGTATAGCAGACTAGGCAGTGCAAAGACCACAACACAAATATAGATACAGTCTGGAGCTTCATTAGTTCCTCTCAGTATTGTTGTTTCTACAGCGGCTTCAGACTGTGAGGATGGACCTGTCTTACCTGAAATCATAGTAGATGATGAGGGGTATGCAAAACTTCCTCTTCGTGATGGTATTGGCCTCAAGGGCCAACACGAATTGATTAGAAGTATCTTTCATACTTCATACAGTAAGATCTAACATCTTCAATATGTGCATGACATTTGATTGACTCAATGGTTTGTAGAAGTCTGCACAGGTGGCTCTAGACCTGTACCTTGGGGCGTGATAACTGCCAGCCCGTCCAATTATTTGGAACCTGGTTCAGTTCCCACAGGATTTGTGGTCAAAGACCCTTCTCATATGAAGACAGAGGAGGTAAATCGTCTATGGATGCATTGGGAACGACGTTCTGCTACAAATCAGAAGCTAGTTGTCTTTATTAAGGCCAAGGATGCTGATATTCGGGTCACTGGGAAGTCCAAGACGAAAGTAGTGAGCACCCTAGACTTAGATGAAGAAGATCAAGGCCAGCCGGCTCCATTTGCCTCTCATTTCACAGAACGTACAACACAGCCGGCCGCTCATGAGACAACACCAGATGATGTTGCCATCAATGACCGATACACATTTTTAGAAACCCTTAGCAAGAATGAAAACTACTTGGAGCTTGTGGACGCCACTAGGGACCTGGCAATATTAGCCAAACAGAATGTTAGTGTCACTTGGTGCTGTTTTCAATTTTATGGCTTATATGTCCAACAGCCAATTTCAGAGCGACACCAAGATTTGCCTACCTGGGCTGACTGGTCTTGGAGCGAAAATTATCTTTCCGAGGACATTCACACCTCATATGCGACATTGATGGCCAGCTTAAACAAGCTACAGACCTGTCCAATCTCAGGGCCATCATCGGCAATGCCAGTAATACTAGGAATTGGGCTCCTCTATAGGGAGTCTAAGCGTGTGATAGAGTATGAGGAAGACGAGGCTGATCCCAATACCCCTTTCTACCTACCTCATTCTGCTATTGATCTACAGTTCTTGGTCGCTCTGGATGAGGCTGTCCGGGAAGTCTTATTCTCAGTTGTTGGTCAGATTGAGAGGCTGAACAAAGAGGGACTCAGTGACGAGGTTGAGGATGAGGAGATGAGGATGGTGGTAGAGAAGGAAAGGCATGAGGTTGAGGAGAAGGATGTTGAGTCAGAGGAGAATGTAGTTGGGGGAGAAGAACAGCAGGAGCAGGAGGTTGAAGAGGTGGTGCAGAAAGGGAGGAAGAGAAAAATTAACCATGCTTCATCAAGTAAGTCCAAGAAGCCTAGGACTGAGCCTGTGGTTCGTAGATCAGGTAGGGTGAGGCAACCCTCTAAGAGATCCCAGAAGATATGATCTTGTATCCTCCATTGTCTTCATTGCTAGTCAATCTTGTACAGTAATTACATATGCTTGTCTAGACTCTCGCACTGCCTGGTGATAAGTTATGACTTGAGTATAAACTGGCTTTCCTCGCTCTATGTACATATATATTGGCCAGCCTGACTCCTACATAGGTAAATGCAGGACGGCCGGTATGCTAGTTTAATACCTGCAAACAGGCCAGCCTGGCTCCTACATAAGTAAATGCAGGACGGCCGGTATGCTAGTTTAATACCTGCAAACAGGCCAGCCTGGCTCCTACATAGGTAAATGCAGGACGGCCGGTATGCTAGTTTAATACCTGCAAACAGGCCAGCCTGGCTCCTACATAGGTAAATGCAGGACGGCCGGTATGCTAGTTTAATACCTGCAAACAGGCCAGCCTGGCTCCTACATAGGTAAATGCAGGACGGCCGGTATGCTAGTTTAATACCTGCAAACAGGCCAGCCTGGCTCCTACATAAGTAAATGCAGGACGGCCGGTATGCTAGTTCAAAACATACAAACTGGCTAGCCTTACCCATACATAGGTAGATGCAGGGCGGCCGGTTTGCTAGATTAAGACCTACATACTGGCCAGCCTGGTTTCTACTGAGGTAGAGATATGGTTGGCCAGTATAATCTTAATCCCACATATTGGGCCACCCCACGTCTGCCTATGTAGAAGAAAGGCTGGCCAGTTACAAATATAGATGTGAAACAGTCAGCATCCTAATACACCAGCAAGCCTTGATATTGGTATACCTACAGCCGGCAGTTGTCTTACATCTACTGGCTGGTCATGCTTTTACAATAGTATGGTAGTGTATTATACATGTGGACTACTACTATACAAGGCCGGCCAGCATGTATTCTACATAGACCGGCCGGGGACTGGCTGGCCATGATTCTACAGGGTTTTGGCACATCCGGGGCACTGGTTCTACATGGGAAATTGACTGAAGTATGTGCTTGTTTCATCGGTTATGGAAGACGAAAATTGACCTGTGCGTGAAGTTCGTCGGTCAATATTAATATCCGATAATGCCTGTTGTTATGCACCCGCGCTAATATGCGCATTCGAATGTCAGACGGACTCTGCATCTCCCAGAGAAATTGACATTGGCATTGGAGGCGGCTTGTTTAGGGCGTCTGGTATTGGCTAGCTGTAAGTTAAGTTATTTACCCCATTCCACTACTCTCGACGACATATGCTAGGCTGACCATCGATACAGCAACGCTCACGCGTCCGCCGTCCTCAAGCATTAATAAAATTGCTCAATTATCGATTTGCGTCTGGACCTAGGCTTTATTTACCCCGACCCCACCCGAGAACGATACGCCTATCTATCACTCAAACTACGTATTTCAATGCTGAAGGTAAGCATTTTTGTGGGCCTTCGTCTAGGATATGCTCTTCCTACCTGCAACACACTTGTTTTCCTCTTTTGATCCACCTACATGGACAGCCCAGATGGATGGTGATATCCCTGAAGAACCATCGCTTTATCAGCCATCTCGGCTTCCACAAATCTTGGTTCTCGTTTTCAAAAACAGAATATTCCCCTCGTATTCCATTTGCCCGAGTCCACCAACTGATCTAGATGGATGAGCGAGGCCGTTGGGAGACCAGGTGTCTGAACCGATATGCTACTGACGGTGACAGTGATTAATGACAATGGTGTCAACAATTGGGTCCGTGTCATTACCTGGTTCGATGCTTCACGCTGACAGACGTGCAACTTTCTCTATGGGTATCAACAGATCACAAGGACCCGAAAAAAGCTAATGCAAGATTCTACGATCACTGAAACTTCCTTTTCTTCGTTGTTTGTCCTCAGACAGACGATAATCAAGGAATTTCTTATTTTGGGGTTATCAACTGTCTGAGCTCAGACGCTACTTTTATTTTCCTAGCTCACAGAACTTTCACATTGTGTTCACATACCTGGCCCAAATTATTGCAGAAGAGGATAGCAGGACCGATGTACTATTGACCGCATCTGTGTTTCTACAGCCACTATCGCTTCTCACGTTTTTTGTACTCAGACACTTGGTGCAGTGGTGATACTTGTTCAGGTGCGCTTTACTCCCCGGTCAGGCGTCCATGTCAGGAGTCAGTACACCTCATCTCCTTGTCATGTGGATACGTGATAGATGATTAGTCGAGCTGTAAGCCCCTTAAACCCATGATACTCCATATCGCTGAATCATGCTCGAACTCAGGCGATTATTGTCGACGACATGGCTTGCTGACAGTGGTCAGCTTTGAGTTGGTTCAATCACATGGTCGACGCTCACCTCCAGGGCATCGACACCTTACTTCGACCCTTCACGCATGATTTGGTGCTCTTTCTCTGGCCCAGATTGATGACATCCAGGCATTCTGGCCGATCTGACTGATTATCAGCCTGACACACTCAGGTCACTTCTTCTTTTGCTCTGCTCGGACACACGATAGACCCAGCACAAGCTGATCAAAGTACGTATGTCAGAATATCGTGGTGGGCGCCTTACTGATACCTCTCAGGTGCACTTGATGGCTTTCGGCTTGAAGCCCCGAATCTCTTCTAGGCAACGCTACTTCTACTATAGAGTTATTGGTATACATATTTCACGGTCCAATTTTCACGGTACAGTGATGTTTGCCTGTATAATTTGATGAGTGAAGAAGTCCGTTCTAATAGAATTCGCGATCGTCTTGAACCAAATATGTGTGTTTTGTCAATTCGGTCGATCTAGATAAATGAAAATGGAATATCAAAATCGGCGATCTAATTCCCGATAATATACTTTGTGTCGTCGTCCTAATGTGCGTATTCCAGGATTTGTGTCATTCAATGCCTTATCTAGACCGGCCGGCATCTAGATATCTATTCGAGGCCATCATTTTTTCATCCATCGTGCTCCCCGCTATTCCTGGAATAGCCGCTCTCTGGAACTTTTCTTTATTCTCCTCATAATCATCCTGAGTTGGTTTATGCGGTCACCGACAATATTAATCACAACCCGCTTTCTTTATTGGTCGTCAAGACATCAATGGTACCCTTCAATGTTTCCTGCAACACACATTTTGATCAATCTTGCCCGTTTTCCCCGTTCTCTACATCCTATCAGACACTTCATTCAAGTGATCAATTGAATTTGCTTGCCGTTCGGCGCTTTACTCTAATGGTCGTGCTTAGAAAGGACTCCGACAGAATATCTTGGTCGATGCCTCATGAGTAGTTTGATGAGTACGCTTGAGACCTTCTGACTTGAAGTTCCGATTCTCTAATTCTCCACTCCATGCTCAGAAGACTTCGTCTCCTTGCCGTGCTCATCCACGGACATCTGGACAGCCGCTAGTCACACCAGGAGTCTGCACAATTCATTCGTTTTCATTCTCCGTAGCCCAGATAAGGGAAATCGCATCTGAGCACCGATGAGTTGTCAGCTATCTGGCTTCACGCTTTGCAGTCACTTTGATCTGTATGTTCAGACAACGGAACTCCACAAATGCGCAGAATCTGCTGCCAGGACACTTTCACGATTCTCGTTATTGTCTTTTAATATCGGCCATCAGGGACCAGGTCGGTTGCTAGACGTTCCGGATAGTTTCAGTTCGTTACTTGGTTCAAACGCGAGTACTCAACAAGAAATAGGTTTGCTTATCAAACATACTTCGATACCTTACATGTTACATAGATATATATCTGGATCCTCGACCAAATTTCTCGTCCCTGCAGACCACTCGGTGAGTATTTTCCTACACAGTACTGCTAGTTGATACGTGTACACGCTCCTGGAAAACAATCGACATCATGCTAGTTTCTGTGTCGGAGGCTGCTACGAGTTTGGCGTGGTATCCTCGAACGCTAAGGATGAGGCGTGGTCCCAACACAAACATCTGCAGGACCAATAAAATTGGAAAAGCACCATAGAGTGTCACAGCTCCAATAGAAGTTGATCTCTATAGAATCGATGAGCAGTGGTTACACACGAATGTCAGCAACAGGTCAGCGCACCTGGAGTTCTGGAGAGATATAAGCAAGCTGCAGGCAAGAGACGCAAGCAAAGCTAACACACGCGGAACTTGAGCAGAACAATATAACTGTGTTCATATTACAAGCTCACCTTGCAAAATAGAAAACGTGGGATTGTATCAGCACTATGAAAGAGTCCCCGATAGTCGATCGTGTTGATGGGCCGAGTCGTCGCAGGCCACGAAAGTGTTTCACAGCAACCCAAACTGAAAGACACAGTGCGAGGACCTCCCAAACAGTGTTGAGCATCCAAACCATTGAAAACAGAAGCTGCTCGTCGCCTTCCATTCCATAACCGCACATATACGTGCCAGAGAGTATCAACTCCTCTGGGGTTTGTTCAATGAACTGTGTTCGTCGACTCAACAAGTGAAACTTACCTCCTACAACGTACTTGAGGTCTATTGCCGTGATTACTACACAGGCGATGTTTAGCGCCAGGAAGATAATAAGAAGGAAGATTAGCATCGTTGTAGATCCCTGGTACATAGCATGCAACCGAGCAATCATGATGACTTGCATCATGTGTCATTCGGGTCAATATCCCCGAAGTATTGAAGCTGGGCGACTCACCGCCCAACATGGCAGCTATGACCACATTTGTCCCATTCTGTGCGTATTCCATAATTATGCCTGAAACACTCAATTAGTGAGTACCATCGTACTAGGATCAAACACTCATACTCACACCTATCGAGTCACTATATTGAGCCAAGTCAATGAATGGTTGGAATCAAACTCACTCCTAAAATATGAGCGCATTCATTGCATAGGAATGAGATGGTTATTTAATACTCACTGCATCTGTCAGCTGGACCAATGGTATACTTGCTTTGGGCTGCCGGTCAGAAAGAAATCGGACACAGTGCGTACTAGACATACGCAGAACGCTGATGCTGGCAATGAAAGATGGGGTATCAATACAGCATCAACTTATTGGCCACAATGACGTACGCAGAATATGGTATTCCAATGTAGCGTACCTAGAACATTATGAAGTCAAAACAAGAATGCCGTTATAGCACAACATGAGGTACGAACAACTAGATACAGTACAGTCATGAGCGACCGGCGTTGCCTCTATCGCTAATTCATCAAACTGTCCTGTTTTTCTTCTGATACGACTCTTGTTACTCACCCAGATCAGTTCAATCTATGAAACCTCACTTAGCGAGTTTTCCGCTCCGGAGTCCGCCGTTGACATCGACGTACCTCTTGGCCGAGTGTTAAGACTGGAAATATCATGAGAATATGAGTCATTTTCAAGTTAGAAGACTGTCCCACTCACCCCAATCATATACCACCACGACACCCGCAGCAACTGCGAAACCACCAGCTCATGTTCAATAAATATAGACATTTTGCTGTAACGAACCTTTCCAATAGCTGAGAAACATCGAAAAATTGATTAGCGGCCAGAAAGTGGAGTCATTTGAAACTATAGTCATGTTTGAGGGGTACCGGTGAGCGGTGAGTGCTGAGCGGGGAGTATTGGCAGTACTAGTGTCGGTCGTACTAGATATACCATCTTTTACTAAAGATAGGCTTCACTCATGCCACCATGATAATGTAACATTTCTGTGATCTCATCAACATTCCTTGACGCCTGGACACACGTACGATCAGTATGGTTACCTCCACACATCGAGGTACAGATGCATAGGTTAGTATTGATCCTTGATGCGCACTAAGAGGCCTAGGACGTTGAGTCATCGAGAAGAGGTTCATGTACGGGTGTCAGACGTCAAGCGCCCGCCAGAGGTTATAATTGATCAGCTCCCATCAGCCCACTACACACAAGGTAAGCAGCCATTCCTTTTTCGTGGCCTGCACTTGCGCATTGTAATGCGCACTCTGCGGCTGTATAAGTCTAGATGAGTGACTCACCCTGACTGACCGTGTGCGCTGCTATCTATGTTAGTAAGTACTAAGTTAGTCCAATCCTGGCCAGCTCAGGCTCAGGCCGTCCAGGCCCGCACAACATTGACGTATGCAAGACATGTGGTGCACACTGTGATGATGGTGGCCTGGGTTGACCTGTTGAAAAAACTCGACATTATTTCAAATGCCTCTGAATATAGTACACGCAGTCTCCTACGCTAATCCACACTCCTTCTCAACGTCTGCAAGAACTTGAGCCCATTTCCCCTCATTCCAAGAACTGATCCTGACCCACTCATCCTCCTTCAGGACTCGTTTGAACCACAGCAACCAGCAAGCCACGATAATGTCTGCATACGAAAAAGTGTCGCCCATGAACCACTTTCCGTCTGTCTTCTGGTACCATTCGTACGCAATATTGTGCCCCTTCTCTAGTAGGGCCCAGTCTTCATCGTAATTCGCATCCCAAGGCAGCGGGACGTCCATCGAACGGATTTTGATAAAGAACTTTGCACTGACGGGACTCAATATTTCTGTGGAGCGTACGAAGATAGACTTTACAGCAGGTATAATGAGTTTGATATGGGCAGAGTCGAACTCGCGTATCAGGGATTCTGAGTTGTTAGGAAAAATAGGCTTCTCTGGATATGTCTTTTCAAGGTAGGAGGCGATTTCGAGGGAGTCGGTGATGAGGGCACCGGTGTTAGGGTCGCTGAGGACGGGAACGGTGCAAAAATCCGAGCCGTCTGAGCGTTTGTTTGGCTTTGCACCGATGGCCTTCATAGCGATCGAGATGTCTGAGTATTCGACCCAGACGGTCACGAACGGAAGACCCTTGTAGCTCAAAATGAACCTGAGGCGTAGAGTAGACTTTGATCAGATATCAAAGTGACATACATCGACATGAATTACTGACCTCGGCTTTGCAGGGTTGGGTGACCAGCTATTGCCTGGTAGATTGGAGAGGGTGTCGTACAAGACAAGTGTCTGCGTCATGGAGTACTAAGACGTGGGGTTTGACGTGCTGCGGCCAATCTTGAAACTCTTTTTAAAGGCTGAGCGGCTTCATTGGTAAGCATCTTGGTTAGCATCCTTGAACACCGGGACTATACCTGTGTATAGAGGCAACTGTGCAGTGTGTATTATGGGCGATGTACCGCCGCAGTTGGAAAGTTAGCAGCCAGTGGTGTCATCGGAAGCTGTGTTGGAGTGGTTGACCGAGTTATGGTGGGTATGAATCAGAAATGCAACCTTGAAGGCGCATTACTTACTCCACATGACGAATGAATAATAACAGTACTAGTGTTTTCAGGCGCACACCGAACATAATATGAAAGATACGGGGCCTCCATCAGCAACGGTGAATGTCAGAGATCTGGCCAGTCTGGGGCCAAAGTCTGAGGCGGAGTCTGGGGGTCTCCTTTTCTAAATTTTAATCAAAGTCCGCAGCGCTGCGCTACTACCTTCGGCGTTTGCGGAGTCAAAAAATGAACCAAGCTTACAGCTCTGCAAGCAATGCCGTTCTGGAATTCACACCTGTGCCAATTTCTCTTGTTACCTCGCTCGCGGATCGGTCATGGAAGACGAGAATTGACCTGCACGTGAAGCTGGATGGACGGGCACTATCGTATTTGGTCTGCCTACATAGTACTTGAGCATATATATAAGACTAAAGCGTTGCTCCTGTGACAGACCCTCCAGACACATTCTTCCTCGCGCTCAAGGACATTCTACTACCGCTCTGAAGGCCACCCTTTCTCGTGCTTGGACGCATTAGAGTGAGTTTTTTCCTCTATCAACTACCTGATCAAAGATGTTACTTGTCCTTTCCAGGCCCTTCACTCTCTATCTGTTCGGCCGGGTGACCATGCTGTGATAACCTCTTCACTTACATTTACTCTTGAAATATCGCTACTCCAGGGCCGAGGTGATTGATATTTAATATCAACGGGTGTGTTATATTTACATATGCATCTCATTTGGTGTTTTACTCTTACAGTGATGCGACTCGGCAGGATGGAAATAGATCGTTGCAGGGCTTCCCAGGTACGCCTTGAACCAGACATGTACGAGTCTAATTTCCTCGATCTAGATTCTAGATAAATAAAAAACATGGAATCCTGACGAAATCGGCGATCTAATTCCCGATCACATACTTTCGTCGTCGTTCGTGTCGTTGACCATTCTAGGTCATCCTTCTTTCATCCATCGTGCTTCTATTCAGTGCGTTTCCCCTATTCTATCAGACACTTCATTCAAGTACCCATTTGCTTACCCTAGCTATATAGGAGCCACTGTGATCCATGCCAATGGGCGTGTGTGCATATCTGTATCTCGTTCGGTGCTTCACTCCGATGGTTGTGCTTAGGGAGTGTCCCAACAGAATATCGCAGTCGATGCCTCATTAGTAGTTTGATATGTACGCTCAAGGACTTCTAGCATTATCTGATTCTCCACTCCCCACTCAGCAAACTACATATCCTTGTCATGCTCATTCGCGAGAGATGTGCAGTCAAGCCATGAGTCTACGTGACTCATCCATTTCATTCTCCGTAGCCCATCGGATGGAGGAAATCGCATCTGAGCACCGATGAGTTATCACTCATCTGGCTTCACGATTCTCAGTATCTACATGGCCAGACGGGGGGACACCAACGGGCAGAATCAGCTGTCAAGCACTTTTACTCATTGTCGTTGTATTTCAACATCGGTCATCAAGGATCAGTTTGGTTGCTAGTCGTTCCGGATAATTTCACCTTGCTACTTAGTTCAAGCGCAGGTACTTCATTCCAGTTGTGATACAACATTGCATGGACCTTGTAAATATACTTCAAAACCCTATATGCTAAATAAATACCACGACGGACCCTCCACCTTCCTGTAGACCGGTCGGCAAGCATTTCCCTACACAGTACTGCTAGTGGATACATGTACACGCTCCTGGAAAACAATCGAATTCATGCTAGTTTCTGCGTCGGAGTATGCCACAAGTTTGGCGTGGTATTCTCGAACGCTCAGGATGAGGCGTGGTCCCAGCACAAACATCTGCACGACCAATAAAATTTGAAGAGCACCTCGGAGTATCGAAACTCCAATGGAATTAGAATTAGAATGCTACAAGAATGATGAGCAATGTTGACGCGCAGATGTTGGCGACAGGTTGGCGCACCAAGATTTCTGGAGAGAAAAGAGCGAGCTGGAGGCAAGAGACACCGGTAAAACTAACATATGCGGAACTTGAGCAGAAAACATAACCACGTTCACATTACAAGCTCACCTTGCAAAATAAAGAACGTGCGACTGTATCAGCACTCTGAAACAGTCCCCGACGGTCGATCCTGTCGATGGGCCGAGTCGTCGCAGCTCACGGAAGTGTTTTAGAGCAACCCAGATTGAAAGATACAGTGCTAGGACCTCCCAAACAGTGTTGAGCATCCAAATGATCGAAATAAGCTGGTTGTTCCCTTCAGATAAATCGCACACATATGTGCCAGAAAGGATGTGCTCCTCTAGTGTTTATCCAATGAGTCGTGTTCTTCAGGTCAACAAGTAAAGCTTACCCAGTACATCATAGTTGAGTGCTATTGCTGCTATTATTGCGCAAGCGATGTTTACAGCCAGGAAGATAATAATAAGGAAGATAAGCATCACTCTAGATCCCTGATACATGGAATGCAATCGAGCAATCATGATTACTTGCATCGTGTGTCAGTCAAGTCCATATCACAAATGTATTGCACCTGGGTCACTTACCGCCCAACATGGCACACAAGGCCACATTTGTCCCACCTGATGCGTAGTACATGATATTGCCTGAAACTCCCAATTAGTGAACGCCTTCGCACTAGTATCGAAGATCCGACTTACACCTATTGAGTCGTGATGTTGAGCCAAGTTCAATCCTTGTATTCTCACTCACCCCTACATATGAGTGAATTGATTGTATGGGAATGAAATGGTTTCAGAATACTTACTGCATCTGTCAGTGATACCGATGGCATATTTTCTGTGTGCCACCGGTCAGCAAAATGAAACACAGAGTATATGAGACATACCCAGAAGACGGACACTAATTGTCAGAGATGAGTTATTAGCACAGTGCAAAGTTGTGGATCTCGACACATACACAGAATACGGTATTCCAATATAGCGTATCTAGAGTATTTTAGAGTCAGCACAAGTTGCCCACCACGCTAAAGCACAACATGAGGTACTAACAATCAAATACAGCACACTCATGAGGGACCAGCGTCGTCTCTGTCGCGAATTCATTGCATTGTCTTGTTTTCTTCTAATACGGAACTCTTGTCACTCACCCAGATGAGTTCAATCTATGGCACATTCTTAGCGAGTTGGCTACTCCGGCGATGACATCGACGTACCTCTTGTCCGAGTGTTAAGACTTGAAATATCATGAGAACATCAGCGATTTTCGAACACTGTCCTGCTCACCCCAATCGTATAACACCACAACGACTGCGGCAACTGTGAAATCGCACGTCAACATTAGATTTAGACATATTGATGCGACAAACCTTCCCAATAGCTCAAAAAAATGTTCACACTGATATAAGGCCAGTAACTCGGATCATTTGAGACGAAGGTCATGTTCGAGGAATGGGTGAGCGAGTGGGGAATGTTAGTGGTGTATGACGATAGCTTCGTGCTAGTTATACCACCGTTCGGCACTTGGATCTCCAAAATCAGCATAACGGAGATAGATAATCGATCCTACCTCAAGATTTTTGATCGGGTGGAACGGAGCGAAATCAAATACAAAGCTGGCAATAAACTTGCACCACGCCAGGAAGCTAATCTCTGAATGTACAGGCTCATCTCTATGGCATCGTGTTTCTGTAAGCATGTAACAGACTAAGATTGAACCCCATCGTAAGTTGCTGAAGTCAGACGGACCATCACAGGGTAGAAGCTGACTAAGATAACACAGCACGACACAAGTAGGGAACGCCGATAACCGGAATAGCCGGAGTAGATCAGCATAGCACGGAAGAGAATGAAGACCGTATTTACAATAGAATTTAGTCGAATTATTAATATCTACATCTTGTTCTATCTCCGAGATCCTCATGGACGGGTTCAAAATGGTCAGGTAGATTATTCATCATAGTACAGACACACCGTTGTTTCAGATCCAGAAAGATGCTGCGCCACTGCTTGGTATTTCTCCTCCCTGCAGACCACTCGGCAAGCATTTCCCTATACAGTACTGCTAGTTGATACATGTACACGCTCATGGAAGACAATCGAATGCATGCTAGTTTCTGCGTCGGAGTATGCCACGAGTTTGGCATTGTATTCTCGAACGCTGAGGATGAGGCGTGGTCCCAGCACAAACATCTGCACGACCAATAAAATTTGAACAGCACCATAGAGTATCTGAGCTCCAATAGAATTCAAATTCTATAGAACTGATGAGCAGTGGTTACACGCAGATATTAGCAACAGGTCAGCGCACCGCGATTTCTGGAGAGAGTTCAGTAAGCTGGAGGCAAGAGACACCAACAAAGCTAACACGTGCGGAACTTGAGCAAAAAACTATAACCGCATTCACATCACAAGCTCACCTTGCAAAATAGAGAACGTGAGATTGTATTAGCACTCTGAAACAGTCCCCGATGGTCGATCCTGTTGATGCGCCGAGTCGTCGCAGGTCACAGAAGTGTTTCACAGCAATCCAAATCGAAAAACACAGTGCGAGGACCTCCCAAACAGTGTAGAGGATCCAAACCGTTGAATACGAAATCTGGTGGTTCGCTCCATCTCCATCTACATAATAGCATATATACGTGCCAGAGAGTACGAACTCCTCTGGTGTTTGCCCAATGAGCCGTGGTCTTCAAGTCAACAAGTGAAGCTTACCCCATACAGAATACTCGAGGTCTATTGCCAAGATCACTCCGCAGGTGATGATTACAGCCAGGAAGATAATAACAAGGAAGATAAGCATCTTTCTAGATCCATGATACATGGCATACAACCGAGCAATCATGATGACTTGCATCGTGTGTCAGTCAGGTCAATATCACAGAGGTATTGCACCTGGGTGACTCACCACCCAACATGGCAGTTACAACTAGATTTATCACACTCTCTGTGTAGTACGTGATAGTGCCTAAAGCTCGCAATTAGTAAACGCCCTCGCACTAGTATCAAAGACTCCGACTTACACCTATTGAGTCATTATGTCGAGCCAAGTTCAATGTTTGGAATCTCGCTCACCCCTGCATATGAGCGTATTGATTAGAATCATTGGATAGGCATGAGATGGTCGCAGAGAACTTACTGCATCTGTCAGCGATACTGATGGCATAATTGCTGTGTCTCGCCGGTCAGAAAATGAAACTTGAATATAGCGCATATGAGACATACGCAGAAGATTGATACTAGTTGTCAGAGATGAGTGATTAGCACAGTGCAAAGTTATTGATCTCGACACATACACAGAAAACGGTATTCCAATATAGCGTATCTAGAATATTTTGGAGTCAGCACAAGTTGCCCACCATGCTAAAGCACAATATGAGGTACGAACAGTCAAATACAACACAGTCATCAGAGACCAGCGTTGTCTCTGTCGCGAATTTATTGCATGCTCTTGTTTTCTGCTGATACGGAACTCTTGTCACTCACCCAGATAAGTTCAATCTATGACATCATTCTTAGCGAGTTGGCTGCTCCGGCGATAACATCGACGTACCTCTTGTCTGAGTGTTAACACTGGAAATATCGTGAGAATATCAGCGAATTTCGAACATTGTCCTGCTCACCCCAATCGTATACCACCACGACGCCTGCGGCAACTGCGAAACTGCATGTCAAGATTAGATCTAGACATCTTGATGCGACAAACCTCCCCAATAGCTGACGAAAATATTTGAACTGATATATGGCCACCAACTTGGATAATTTGAGACGTAGGTCATGTTCGAGGGATGGGTGTAGGCAAGTGGGGAAGGTTAGTGGTGTATAACGACAGCGTTTGTGCAAGATATACCACCGGTGCAGTTTGAGCTCCATCACAGCACTCACAGGACGTACAGCCTCACAGTAAAATACTATTATAGTACTAGTCATGAGCGCTGAGCGCTGTTACTTCAACTCGTAATTCTAAAAGTACTTACATCAGCAAAACACTAAGTTTAGCACAGGTACTGTCGCGGCTTACAGCAGTGTGGAATGCTAACAGAATCGGCGATCTGATTTCCAATAGACCTTCTGGATCAACACAGTTCGTGTTGTCGTCCCTTGTACACAAGTGCGTTTTCCAGGATTCGTATCATCATTTCTGACAGTCAATGCCTTACCTAACCTGGCATCTACTCTAGGCAATTCTTCCTTCTCAGACCACGCCGATTGTCCATAATGCAATGCATAATCGAACATGTGTTTCCCTCAACTTCTCGCCATCAATACACCTCGCGTCGTTAAAGTGACCATTTGCCTGCCCTCAGAGCGATTGTGATCGATTGATCTATGCCAATTGGTGTATGTATGTATGCATATTTGTATCTCGTTAGTGCTTTACTTTGATGGTCGGGCTTAGCAGGGGCTTCAGCAGACCTCATCTCGAGCTTGTCATGCTCATTCGCTACAGCCAAACGATGATAGTTATCAGCCATCTGGCTTCACGATCCACAGTACCTATATGTCGAGACGGTAGAACACCAACGCGCAAAACCAGCGGTGAAGGCACTTTTACTGACTCTCGTTGTATTTCAACAATGAACCAGATTGGTTGCTAGATGTTCTGGACAATTTCCCATTACCACTTGGTTGAAACGCGGGTGATTCGTTCTAGTAGTGACACAACAAGAAATAGCTTTGCCTAGACCTTTCAAACGTATTATATGTCAAATAAATATCACAACGGATCCTCAATCAAATTTCTTCTCCCTACAGACCACTCGATCAGCATTTCCCTACACAGTACTGCTAGTCAATACATGTACATGCTCCTGGAAGACAATCGAATTCATGCTAGATTCTGCGTCGGAGTATGCCACGAGTTTGGCGTGGTATTCTCGAACGCTAAGGATGAGGCGTGGTCCCAGCACAAACAACTGAATGACCATACAAATTTGAAGAGTACCGCCGAGTATCGAAACTCCAATAGAATCCGAATTCTAACAGAAATGATGAGCACTGGTTGCACGCAGATATCAGCAGCAGGTCAGCGCACCGGGATTTCTGGGAAGAGAAAAGCAAGCTGGACGCAAGAGACACCAAAAAGCTGATATGTGCAGAACTTGAGCAGAAAAAATATGACCGCATCAACATTACAAGCTCACCTTGCAAAATAGAGAACATGAGATTGTATCAGCACTCTGAAACAGTCTCCGATGGTAGATCCTGTCGATGGGCCGAGTCGTCGCAGCTCACGGAAGTGTTTCACAGCAACCCAAACTGAAAGACACAGTGCGAGGACCTCCCAAACAGTGTTGAGCATCCAAAACATTGATCCGAGGAGCAGGTAGTTGCCTTCCAATTGAGAACTGCACATATAAATGCCAGAGAGTATCAGCTCCTCTGGTGTGTGTCCAATGAGCCGTGTTCTTCAAGTCAACAAGCAAAGCTTACCTCCTACAGTATCCTTCATTATTATTGCCATGATCACTCCGCAGGTGATGTTTACAGCCAGGAAAATGATAATAAGGGACATAAGCATCGTTCTAGATCCCTGATACATGGCATGCAACCGAGCAATCATGATGACTTGCATCGTGCGTCAGTCAGGTCGATATCGCAGAGGTATCGCACCTGGTCAACTTACCACCCAACATGACAGTCAAGGCCACAACCGTGCCATTTAATACGTAGTACACGATAATGCCTAAAACTCGTAATTAGTGAACGCCCTCGCACTAGTATCAAAGACTCTGACTTACACCTAGTATTGAGTCATTATGTCGAGCCAAGTTCAATGCTTGGAATCTCACTCACCCCTGCATGTGAGTGTATTGGTTAGATAGGAATGTGATAGTTGCAGAATACTCACTGCATCTGTCAGCGATACCAGCGGCATATTTCCTGTGTGCCGCCGGTCAAAAAAATGGAACACAGCGCATATGAGACATACCCAGAATATTGACACTAGTTGTCATAGATGAGCTATTAGCACAGTCCAAAGTTGTTGATTATACATACACAAAATACGGTATTCCACTATAGCGTATCTAGAACATTTTGGAGTCAGCACAAGTTGCCCACCATGCTAAAGTACAACATGAGGTACGAACAATCAAATACAGCACAGTCATGAGAGACCAGCGTTGTCTCTGTCACGAATTTATTGCATGCTCTTGTTTTCTTCTGATACGGGACTCTTGTCACTCACCCAGATGAGTTCAATCTATGACACCATTCTTAGCAAGTTAACTACTCCAACGATAACATCGAACGTACCTCTTGTCCGAGTGTTAAGACTAAAAATATCATGAGAATATCAGCGATTTTCGAATACTATCCTGCGGCTCACCCCAATCGTGTACCACCACGACGCCGGCGGCAACTGCAAAACCCCAAGTCAACCTTAGTAGATCTAGACATGCTGATGAGACGAACCTATCCAATAGCTGTTCAACAAATTAAAATTGATTGTCAGCCACCAACTGGGATCATTTGAGACGATGGTCATGTTCGAGGGATGGGTGTGAACGAATGGGCAGCGTTCGTGCTACATATCAAATCCTACTCCAGAGTCCACGGACATTACATACAGAGGGAATACACAAGTACACACATACATACATCAAATGGTCTAGGACTGTATCTAATCTAAGAGTCGACGTCATTGGCAAATGAAGCCATTTACATGTTGGAGCGTTGGTGTACTAAGGACAAGCTGTGATAAGTAAAAGCCATTACTACCTTCGGTGTTTGCCGAGAATCGAAAAATGAACTCTCTCTCAGTTTCGGACTTTGTTTGTAGTATGTACGCCACAAAGATACTCCACCCACTTCATTAATATTGGCTACCCCTTCACAGATACATAAAACTATCTTCGCATTTTCCAATTCATTCAAATCTTTCACCTTGTCTTCGTTCTACTTACGATCACTTTCGCTATCTAACCGACCCCGTCTCACCATATAACTCATCTCGCCAATCCTCAGCTTATCCTTGTCCGGCATCAGGTTCAAATTGACATGTAAGTATTACACGTACTTTAGCCAGAACGCTGACATACCACAACTCAACGTTCAACTTCGTTCCTACATGTCTTCTCTACAGACTTCCGGTCTGATTATGCCTGCCCATGTGCACCCACGCTAATCTGCACGTTCCAATATATGGAGTTCGTACCCCAAAAGAATTGGTACGGGTGTTGGGGATAGCTTATTTAGAGCGTCTGGTTTTGAACAGCTGTAAGTTGTTTACCCCGTTCCACCACTCTCGGCGACATATGCTAGGCTGGCCGTCGATGCATCAGTGCTCATGCATCTGCTATCCTCGAGCATAGCGTCCACACGTCGTAAGTACTTGCATAATCTCGGTCCTCAATCTTCCTTTCACCTTATCTCGTATCTGATTCCCCTCTCAGTGCCATCAGACTTGGAGCCACGTACGTCCATTCTTTGCCTTTTTGTTGTAGGGAGTCGAAATAATGTTCATGCTTTCAATCTCCCTGCGCACAAAGGGGTGCTTGTGGTGCCGTCCTTTGCATTTATCGTTGGTACGTTCCCCAGTCTTGAGCACCCCTCCCCCTCCCTGTCGCGAGATTCACTTAATCATTGATCCACCCCTAGACTCATACTTGCCACGACCCACCCAAAAACAATCAGTTGTAATGCTCGAGGTAAGCATCTCCACAAAATTTACTAGGATATACTCTCACTCCCTGTAACTCAGACTCGAATCTCAATCTGCTCGATCTAGATACTTAAATCAAATAAAACTTGGAATGCTGACAAAATCGGTGATCCAGGATTCGTATCATCATCGATGCCTTATCTAGCCCGGCATCTATTGGTGCCATATATAAATATGTCACTGGCACCCTTATTCTGGCTGAAGTCGTTCCGGGTAATTTCAGCTTACCGCTCGCTGTACTTCGTTCCAAGTGATACGACAATAAATAGGTTTGCCTAGATCTCTCAAATATACATCGAAACCCCATATGCTAAATGAATACCACGACAGATCTGCATCAAATTTCTTCCCCCTGCAGACCACTCGGCAAGCATTTCCCTATACAGTACTGCTGGTCGATAGCAACACTGTTTCTATAGCTAGCTTTATCGGTAAACATATTTCACGGTACAACGATGTTTGTCTGTAAGTTGATGACCGAAGAGGTCCGTTCCACTCATATTCGCAATCCTACATTCATTGAGTAGAAAAGGCCGATGTCCTGTCAATTCGATCGATCGGAATCTAGACAAATAAATAAACCTTAGAATGACTTTCGTTCGATCGTGTCGTCGACCTATTAATGTGCGTCTTCCAGGATTCGCATCTATCTAGGCATCTATTTTGGGCAATCAACTAATCAATCCTGCTTTTATCCATCATGCTTCCCTTTAGTGTAGGGTTGGAAGTACTTGATCTGTCACGCAGAAATTATCAATAACCTCTGCTTCAAAGACAAGAATCCCGCCATCGATACGCCTCCCGTCTCCATCGATAGTACCTACAGGAATAGCTGTTCTCCGGAACTTTATTTTCCTCATCCTGCGTGCGATATATAAATATGTCACTGGTCACAGGCGCCCACCCTTATTGGTCGTTTATACAGCTCACGTACGAGACATCACGATGCCCTTCAACGTTCCTGCAAATTTCCCCGTTTCCCACATTCTATCATTCACCAAGTGATCATTTGCTTACTGTACATGTCCGTATCTCGTTCGGTGCTTTACTTTGATAGTCGTGCTTACCGAGGGTTCCAACAGAGTATTGCAGTCGATGCCTCATCAGTAGTTTGATAGGTACGCTTGAGGTCTTCTGACCTGGACCTTCGATGTTCTTATTCTCCACTCATCACTCAGCAGACCCCATATCCTTGTCATGCTCATTCGCGAGAGAGACGTACAGTCAAGTCATGAGTGTACGCGATTCATTCATTCATTCTCCGTAGCCCATCGCATGGAGAAAATTGTATCTGAGCACTGATGAGCTTCAGCCATCTGGTTTCACGATTCGCAGTATCTATATGTCCAGACAGTGGACCACCAACGCGCAAAATCAGAATCAGCTGTCAAGGCACGTTCACTAATTCTCGTTGTATTTTAACATTGGGTATCAAGGACCAGTTTGGTTGCTAGACGCTCCGGCTAATTTCACCTTACCACTTAGTTCAAGCGCGGGTGTTTCGAAACCTCATATGTTAAACAAATACCACAACAGATCCTTTACGAAATTTCTCATCTCTGCAGACCGCTCGACAAGCATTTCCCTACACAGTACTACTAGTCGATACATGTACACGCTCCTGGAAGGCAATCGAACTCCTGCTAGTTTCTGTGTTGGAGTCTGCCGTAAGTTTGGCGTGGTATTCTCGAACGCTCAGGATGAGGCGTGGTCCCAGCACAAACAACTGCACGACCAATAAAACTGGAACATCACCACTGAGTATCGAAACATTCAGATTCTACAGAAATGATGAGCAGTGGTTACACGCAGATGTCAGCAACAGGTCAGCGCACCGAGGTTTCTGGAGAGATATAAACAAACAGAAGAGAAAAGAAAAAGCTAACCATGTACGGAAGTTGAGCAGAAAATTATGATCGCATTCACATTACAAGCTCACCTTGCAAAATAGAGAACGTGAAATTGTATCAGGACTCTGAAACAATCCCCGATGGTCGATCCTGTCGATCGGCCGAGTCGTCGCAGGTTACGGAAATGTTTCACAGCAATCCATACTGAAAGGCAGAGTGCGAGGACCTCCCAAACAGTGTTGAGCATCCAAATCATTGAATACAGAAGCTGCTCATCCCCACTCATTCCATAATTGCACACATACGTGCCAGAGAGTATCAACTCCTCTGGTGTTTATCCAATCAGCCATGTTCTGTAAGTCGACAAGTGGAACGTACCCCCTACAGTATGCTTTAGTATTATCACCAAGATCACTCCGCAGGCGATGTTCACAACCAGGAACATAATAACAAGGAAGATAAGCATCTTTCTAGATCCCTGATACATGGCATGCAACCGAGCAACCATGATGACTTGCATCGTGTATCAGTCAGGTCAACATCACAGAGGTATTGCACCCGGGTGACTCACCGCCTACCATTCCGGTCACGACCTCATTTGTCCAACATAATGCGGAGTACGTGATAGTGCCTAAAACTCGCAATTAGTGAACACCCTCGCACTAGTATTAAAGACTCCGACTTACACCTATCGAGTCGTTATGTTGAGCCAAGTTTAATGGTTGGAATCTCACTCACCCCTACATATGAGCGTATTGATTGGATGGGAATGGGATGCTTGCAGAATACTTACTGCATCTGTCAGCGATACCGATGGCATATATTCTGTGTCTCGCCGGTCAGAAAACTGAAATACAGCACATATGAGACATACCCAGAAGAGTAACACTAGTTGTCAGAGATGAGCGATTAGCACAGTGCAAAGTTGTTGGTCTCGACACATACACAGAATACGGTATTCCAATATAGCGTATCTAGAACATTTTGGAGTCAGCACAAGTTGCCCATCATGCTAAAGCACAACATGAGGTACGAACAATCAAATACAGCACGGTCATGAGAGACCAGCGTTGTCTCTGTCGCGAATTCATTGCATGTTCTTGTGTTCTTCTGATACGGGACTCTTGTCACTCACCCAGATGAGTTCAATCTATGATACCATTCTTAGTGAGTTGACTGCTCCGGCGACACCATCGACATACCTCCTGTCCGAGTGTTAAGACTGGCAATATCATGAGAATATCAACGATTTTCGAACACTATCCTGCTCACCCCAATCGTATACTACCACAACGCAGGCAGCAACTGCAAAATGGCAAGTTAATGTTAGATCGAGACTCATCATGATGCGACGAACACATCCAATAGCTGGAAATGATATTCAAATTGATCTGGGGCCACCAACTGGGATCATTTGAGACGACTGTCATGTTTGAGAGATGGGTGAGCGAGTGAGAAATGTCAGTGGTGTTTGACGATAGCGTGTGTGTTAGATTTACCAACCGTTCGGCCCTTGTATCACTAAAATTAGCATGTTAAAGATGTAAATTTGATCTCACCTCAGAAATCCAGTGCCCTTCAAGTTGATCAGGTAAAGAAAACATCAGTTAGCCGCTGAACAAATGATTATCAAGGGTATTCAAAGCCATATATCGTAGACATCACAAAAATCTTCGTAAATCTGCTGCCTGTTTTTATGAGAATGTTTGTCGTCATTGAGAAAAGACTCACTTGAATTAAACCAGCACAAAATGAAGCAGCACAGGTTCATATGAACCCAGACTCAGAGGGGGAGGTTGGAATGCGTTAGGGTGAAGGGCAGTTCAGCGACGTCGAATAGTTGTGCTGATTTGTGCCGTTTGGTCTTCAAGAAGTATTTCGCTGCTAGCGGAGAATAGTAATACAGTGCGATAACAAGATTGCGCTTGATTACAATAGTCATGGCTACAATACCAGGGACTCGCTGGTTTACTGATGCGTAGTCTTTGATCTAAACTAGCTCAATTACAATGCTGCGCTACCTTCGGTGTTTGCCGAAAGTCGAAAAATGAACTCAGCTACCAACGTTCAACTACTGTGCTCAGTTGGACTTTGAATGCTTTTGTACGCTACAAAGATACTTCGACCCTTTTCACCCGCTCCAAAACGTCTAATTGCCAACTTGCCTTCCAATGTATGGAGTTTGCACCCCGAAAGAATTGGTACGGCTGTTGGAGACGGCTTGTGTAGGGTGTCTGGTTTTGACTAGCTGTAAGTTGTTATCCTGTCCCACTACTATTTGCGACATATGCTAGCCTGACCGTCGATATATCAGTGTTCATGCGTCTGCTGACCTCGAGCGTAGCACCATTATGGTTTCAAATATTCTCGCACCTCTCAGCACCATCGGAATTAGAGCCACGTACGTACGTTCATTCTCTACCTTTTTTGTAGGGAGTCGACACGATAATGATTCTTTCAGGCTCCCTGTGCACAAAGGGGTGCTTGTTCGTCCATACGTTTCCCAGTCTTGAACACTCCTCCCCTGGTCCCTGTCGTGGTATTCGATTGATTGTTGGTCCACGTCTAGACCTATACTTGCCCCGAGCCCACCCAAGAACGATCAGTCCATCTGTCATGTATTTCGACGCTCGAGGTAAGCATTTCTATGGGCTGTCGTCTAGTATATGCTCTGACTCCATGCGACCCACTTTTTTCCCGTAGTCCAACTATACGGATATCCCAGATGGACGATAGGGAAATTGTCATCTCGATGAAGAACCATTACTTTATCGACCATCTGGGCTTCTGCGAATCTTTATTTTCTTTTTAAATCCCTTGTTCTCCATTCGCCCGCGTTCGCTGACTGGTACAGATGGATGAGCAGGATTGTTGCATGACCAGCTGTTTGAACTGACATGCTACTCCGGTTGACAGTGATCAGCGATGATGGCATTAACAGTTGAGTCCATGTCATGATCTGGTTCGATGCCTCATGCTGACAGACTTGCTACTTTCTTTACGGGTATCAACAGATCACAAGGACCTGAATAAAAACCCGACGCAAAATCCTGAAATCGCCGACTTCCTTTTCTTCGTTGTTTGTGCTCAGACAGTCGATAACCAGGGAAATCATCATTCTCGAGCTATCAGCTGTCTGAGCTCAGGCACGCTAGTTTTACTTTCTGATTCACAGCACTTTTGCATTGTGTTCCATATGCCTGGCCCAGATGCATTATTCAGCGGACCGATGTATTATTAGCCATCTTTGCTTTTACGACCATTATCGCTTCTCACTTTGTTTTTTTGCTCAGACTGCTAGGATACTTTGTCGGTGCACTTTACTCCCTGCTCACTACACCTCATCTCCTTGCCATGCGCATCTATGGCGGAGGTAAATACTCAGAGCTAAGTCTCTCAAAATCATCATACTCTACATTGTTGAATCGTGCTGGACAACAGACAATTGTTAGCGTTGAGTTGGTTCAATCGGATAGTCTCCAGGTTATCAACTCCCTACTTTCCAAGCGTTCTGGCTGATCTTACGCATTATCAGCCATCTGTGGTGTCGGACTGGCTCAGATTACTTCTTCTTTTGCTTTGCTCAGGTGCTGCATGACAGAGCCAGTGCGATTTGGTCAGAGTACGTATGTCAGAATATCGTGGTCGGTGCCTCACTGATACTTCCCAGGTGTGCTTGCATCGATGCCTTTCGACTTGAAGCCCCGAATCTCCTCTCTACTTCTCACTTGTCATCTCCCTGCCATGCACATGCTCACCCCGTAAGTCTCTTCTTATACCCAGTGTGTTTGAATCATGCGTCTGGCTCGTTCTGCTACGCTATCATGTACGACCCTTAGCCATTCGACAGAAGGGGCTCAACTCATAAGCAGACCTTGTTGAAAAGGACCATCAGCGAGACAACTATTGGCCTCCCAGGCATGCCTTGAATCAACAATGTATGTTCTTTCGTCAATTCGCTCAATATAGATAGATAAAAAAAACTTGGAATGCTAACAAAATCGGCGATTTGATTTCCAATATATCTTCTCAACACAGTTCGTACGTGTCGTCGCGTCATCCCTCATACAAATGTGTGTCGAATTCCGGGATTCGTATCATCATCCAAACTTAAGCTTTATCTAGCCCGGCATCTATTCCAGGCACTCTTCTTTCTTCCATCGTGCTTCTATTCAATGCGGAGCTTAACTTTATCCATCACGCAGGTTGCTCATAATCCCGCCATCGATACACCTCGCGTCTCCATCGACGATACCTGGAATATCCACTCGCCGGATCTTTATTTTCCCCATGCTGCGTGCGATATATAAATTTAATATATCACCATTCACCGGCATCTACCCTCATTGGTAGTTGCAACAGCTCACGTATGAAACATCACGATACCCTTCAACGTTCCCGCAAAATACCTTCGAATTTCCCCGTTTCCCACATTCTATCAAACACTTCATTCAAGCGATCATTTGCTTGCCCTGGGAGCGGCTGTGCATGCAATCCATGTCAACGGGTGTATGTATGTGGGCATGCATGTATCTGGCTCGGTGCTTGACTCCGATAAATCGTGCTTAGCGAGGGTTCCAACAGAACATCGTGGTCGATACCTCATTGGTAGTTGGATAGGTACGTTTGAGGCCTTCTGATTTGAACCTCCGATTTTCTGATTCTCCACTCCCCACTCAGCAGACCCCATATCCTTGTCATGCTCATTCGCGATAGAGACGTCCAGTCGAGCCATGAGTCTACGCCATTCGTTCCTTTCATTCTCCTTGCCCCATCGGATGAAGGAATTGCATCTGAGCACCGATAAGTCATCAGCCATCTGGCTTCACGATTCGCAGTATCTATATGTCCAGACAGTGGAACACCAACGCGCATAATCAGCTGTCAAGGCACATTCACTGATTCTCGTTGTATTTCAACATCGGCCATCAAGGACCAGGATGGTTACAGGACGTTCCGGATAATTTGGCCTTACCACTTGGTTCAAGCGCGGGTACTTCGTTCTAGTGGTGATAAAACAAGAAATAGGTTTGCCTAGACCTTTCGGATATACTTCGAAATACCATATGTTAAATAAATACCACGACGGATCCTGCACCAAATTTCTCCTCCCTGGAGATGTCTTTATACAGTACAACTAGTGGATACATGTACACGCTCCTGGAAAACAATCGAATTCAGGCTAGTTTCTGCATCGGAGTATGCCACGAGTTTCGCGTTGTATTCTCGAACGCTCAGGATGAGGCGTGGTCCCAGCACAAACATCTGCATGACGAATAAAATTTGAAGAGCACCGAGGAGTATCTGAGCTCCAATAGAAGTCGAATACTATAGAACTGATGAGCAGTGGTTACACGCAGATGTCAGCCACAGGTCAGCGCACCCAGATTTCTGGAGAGAAATTAGCAAGCTGGAAGCAAGAGACACCAACAAAGCTAATATCATAACATGTACCAAACTTCAGCAGGAAATATGACTGTGTTCATATTACAAGCTCACCTTGCAAAATAACAAATGTGAGAATGTATGAGCACTCTGAAACAGTCCCTGATGGTCGATCCTGTCGATAGGCCGAGTCGTCGCAGCTCACGGAAGTGTTTCACAGCAATCCAGACTGAAAGACACAGTGCGAGGACCTCCCAAACAGTGTTGAGCATCCAAACAATTGAAAACAGAAGCTGCTCGATGCCTGCATAGTAGCAAACATACATGCCAGAGAGTATGATCTCCTCTGGTGTTTGTCCAATGAGCTGTGTTCTTCAAGTCAACAAGTAAAGCTTACCCTCTACAACATACTTGAGGCCTATTGCCGAGATCACTCCGCAGGTGATGTTTACAGCCAGGAAGATAATAACAAGGAAGATAAGCATCTTTCTAGATCCCTGATACATGGCATGCAATCGAGCAATCATGATGACTTGCATCGTGTGTCAGTCAGGTTAATATCACAGAGGTATTGCACCTCGGTGACTCACCGCCCAACATGGCAGCTACGACTAAATTTATCACATTCACTGTGTAGAATGTGATAGTGCCTGAAATTCCCAGTTAGTGAACGCCCTCGCACCAGTATTAAAGACTCCGACTTACACCTATTGGGTCATTATGTTGAGCCAAGTTTAATGGTTGGAATCTCACTCACACCTACATACGAGCGTATTGATTGGATGGGAATGAGATGATTGCAGAATACTCACTGTATCTGTCAGCGATGCCGATGGCAGAAATTCTGTGTGCCGCTGGTCAGAAAAATGAAACACAGCGCATATGAGACATGCCTAGAAGATGGACACTAGTTGTCAGAGATGAGCCATTAGCACAGTGCAAAGTTGTTGATCTCGACACATACACAGAATATGGTATTCCAATATAGCGTATCTAGAACATTTTGAAGTCAGCACAAGTTGCCCACCACGCTAAAGCACAATATGAGGTACGAACAATCAAATACAGCACAGTCATCAGAGACCAGTGTTGTCTCTGTCACGAATTCATTGCATTTTATTGTTTTATTCTGATATGGGATTCTTGTCACTCACCCAGATGAGTTCAATCTATGGCACAATTCTCAGCGAGTTGGCTGCTGTGGTGATAACATCGACGTACCTCTTGTCCGAGTGTTAAGACTGGAAACACCATGAGAATATCAGAAATTTTCGAACACTGTCCTGCTCACCCCAATCGTATACCACGACGACGACCGCGGCAACTGCGAAACTGAATGTCAATGTTAGATCTAGACATCCTGATGTGACGAACCCATCCAATAGCCGAAAAATATATGTGAACTGATAAATGGCCACCAACTGTGATCATTTGAGATGTAAGTCATGTTCGAGGGATGGGTGAGCGAGTGGGGAATGTCAGTGGTGTATGATGATAGCATTCCTGCTAGATATACCACCGTTCAGCTCTTGTATCGCCAAAATCAGCGTGATGGAGATGGAAATTCGATTTCGCCTCAAGACCCTTGATCAGATGAAAGGGTGCGAAATCAAACAAAAAGCCGGTAATCAAAGTAGATTTTGATTTCCAAATCACACGGGGCTACTTCAACACCAGGAAAGTTCCAGTCGTTCGTGATATCGACAACTTTTTTCCAACACGATTTTTTGCGTTTGTTTTCTGCGAGCTTGCAAAAATTGAAGAGTTCCTTATAAAATCGTATAGTCAGCGATCTAACACAGGTCAAAGTGTGATATGCGAGAAACAAGTATCTACACACTCTTCGCCATCGCTGGCTGAGTCCGAGGCGTAACAGCCCTCTAATTACTCTAATGAAACAAGGATCATTCTGCGGAACTCAGACAATAAACCGTGACAAAGTGGGCCGAATATATCTCACCTCATCAGTCGCCTGGTACGCTCGAATCATTGGGCATTGGGCTATCATGATCATATCAAAATGATGAACGAAGAGATGGTAAGCATAGAACGAATCAGATGCAAAGCTCACTATGTTCAATGCATCGTGCACTTGATGTCATGGTGATGCAGATGTATTTCGTGATTGATAGATGTTGGATACTTAGACGACACCATCGGGGGAAATTGCACACGGGAGACAATAAACCCGCAACACGCCAGAAGCCTGATTTCTGATTGTACAGGCTCATCTCAATGGCATCATGTTTCAGTAACTTCTATCCTGTGAGAGTGAGACCCGTCATTCCCGTGTAAGTCCATCCTGTGTTGGCACAGATCAGTGCCATCCAGTGTTAACTACATGAAAGTTATGATATAATTGCCTGTGGCAACACCAAATTATGACGACGAATTAAGGCTTGAGAATTGTTATCGATGGGGAAACGGAAACGAGGGTCGAAGTTCGAAGGTGCTTTGACGGTTATGGGATGCGTTGTTGTTACAAGTACAAAATAGTCGTGGTGCTTTGCAAACAAACAATTTGTAACAAATCGCGAACCACAGCCTGTTCGACGCACCGAATAGACAGTCGGGGGCCAGGACCTAGAGTGGTGATATGATAGGTGGCCATGACACTTGGCAGGACCAATTTCGCTATGGTCGCAGGAGCATGGAGACCTGTTTGCTGAAGCGCCAGCTGTGTTCAGTGAAGGCACCAAAAGCACTGCTGGTTATGCCCAGAGTCCAGAGAAGAACTCAACGTTTTGAGGCAGGAGGCTGAAGATGCACACAATGCTGGGCACAATACTGTAGAGATACGACACTAACTTCGTCACGCGTCACAAGCCCCCATGAATTGAAGCTATTCGACGTGACCGTCACACTGATTTTTCATAACTGAAGCTAAATTGTGACATGCAGTAGATTCGATAAAAAAACATATAGAGTGCCTTAATGAGACCAAAAGTCGGTGTACATCCTATTTGCGATCTGTCTGCGCTTTCTGCGCCCACAATCTACCTTTGGCATCAGTTTCAAGTTGTGGCATGACTGGGAGTGACATTGAAGGCAGACTTACAGTTCCAGTAGGTCCAGTGTTTAAGACCGCACCCAGCATTGCTTGACAGCTTACAGGTGAAGCAATGTGCAACAATATCAAAGTACCAATAGACTCGGATGTCCGCCATTGATGACAGCGACGCAGTAGTTCGTCACACCTGACTGAAGTTATTTTGGTCCAGTCACAGGTCACACCAACATTTGAAGCTATGAAGCTAAGTGTAACATGGTCACGGCTGGATGTGGCTGAAGTTAGTGTCGTATCTCTACAGTAAATCAATAATACAAGGGTTTGCATTCGCGCACCAAACATAATATGAAAGAGGTGGGGTCTCTATGTGTTCGGTGCGGCCAACCATCAAGCTTGTCTAAATTTGAATCAAAGCCCGTGGCGCTACCTTCGGCGCTTGCGGAGTCAAAAAAATGATCTAAAGAATATTTTTGTGCTTACACAGCGCTGAAAGGGCGATACATCTGTGCCACTCCTTCTTGTTGCATCGGTTATGGAAGACGAGAATTGACCTACGCGTGAAGTTCATCGGACAATATCCGACACATCAGGAAAACATTGAGTTCCTTATTTGCTCCTTATTTGACTTAATTTGCACAATAAGGAACTTTTAAGGCCGTTTTTTGTCCTTAACATCAGGAAACCGGCGAGAAGAAGGTTTTTATAGATATAAATGGCAAACTCAGATCACATGTCCACTGAATTATATCTCAAGATAAAGTGATAAATAATGGTAGCCTAGTGGTATCGAGGGATAAGAGGGTGCAAGAGGAAAATAATCCTGATGAAGATATGCATGTCTCGGAATTGTGATATACAATAGATAAACCGCTACAGGAAGTCCAGCAGCTCTCTAGAAATGTGGTCATTCTTTGCCTAAGATGGACTTCATGGTGGCCATTGGCAATGCCAACCAAGCAGCAATCATGAGGCTATAAAATGCATGTAATGTTGATACTCAACGGTCATCGGTCATAGTCATGATCTGTCTGGGGTAATAATTTGCCAAACACAAGCAGTTATTGTTACCTGTCATCTTTGCTGAACTTTGTGATGCATATTTTGCATTGATAACCCAAAAGTTACAAAATTCACATAATACTCTGACATCACGATGACCATCGGCAATGCCAACCAGACAACAATCATGGCCTATAAAATACATGTAATGTTGATACTAAATGGTCATCACTTGTAGTTGTGATCTGTCTAGGGTAATGTTTCAACATGCATCATCAATATCTGTTGAGTCTGCATTGGGGGGATTGGACGAACTCAAATTCGTCCGCAGAGTAATCAGATACAACCCTCGCACTGCCGAGGCTTGAGATCTAGTGTGGTTAGATCAGGCATCATCCAAAAATCACTCACCTCTTTTGTGCTGTTTCGTCTTCTACGGTCAGGGCATTGTCAAACAACCGCTGCAATTCAATCCCTGCTTGGTTGACGGGTGTCCCAGCAAGGTTGAACAAGAAACAGTGGCGGATCATGAGCTTGAAGTCGCCAAAGAACTTTCAGGCATTGGGATACTGACCGGCCTCAACTTCTTCATCCACATGGTAGACATGTTCATGGGCTTTTTGATGATTCTGTGACATGTCAGAATATCAAGCTTTACTGCATCTGTAGAATTCATTGAGCGTTCATTGCCAGGTATGAATTTGACTTAGTTGGACATACTGACAGGCTCCTAGAACGGAGCAACGTTTGATGCTGCTTGTGCTGAAGATCACTTAAGATCCTCCCACAAATTCGAGCTGCTCCCCTCTGCCATCGTCAGTTGGAACCTTGCACATATTTTTCGGCATATCAGCATATGGTAGGTCTTTCGGAGGAGGTGGGTGGATTTCATGTTTCGGCCATGTGCCGAATGACAGGAACTGATTGATGTAGAAGGACGGCGAACGGGTGCTGCAGCGGCTTTCTTGGGGGGAGCTGGCGGAGGTGGAGGCAAAGGAGGCGTGGCAACTTCCTTGATGATAGGAGGCTTCGACTGTAACAATGAGTCACATATGCGGCATTCATCAAAAGGTGACATATCTCAGGAAGTTGCTGGATCTACTTATCGAAGACAGCCTCGACACATTTGCCTGCCTGAGCAATCTCATGGTCCGGGCCATTGAACGTGATGCAATTGCTAAACACCAGCCACACGTCAAAGATGAACTCCTCGGCGCAGGGGAGGCTGCATCTTTGGTCGGAATATCATCAGCAATTACCAGGAGTGCGACTACTAGTAGGTGAGCAACGAAAGTGGATTGAGAGCGAGGCACTCACAATATACCATTAATTTCCCCGAGCTGCTCATTCCTAGATGTGAATGGCACATCTCACGTTCTCCTTTGTCAACCACAACAGACCCATTGTGATTGTGAAAGAAACCAAGGCCAGAACGTCCAGCAGGGAGTTTGATGCCAGAGCGGATCATCAAGCTTGACAGCCTGTGGTTCAACAACAGAAACCTTGCCTGCTTGGGCACCAGTGGCAATATACTGAGTATCTCGGATGGTGCAATTTGCCAGTGGACAAGAGCTGGGAAGCCAGCAAGAAAGGTATTCAATATCGAGGCTGTAATGATGGCAGTGTCTTGTGATGGATTGATGGTCATATGTAATTGCAGAGATGTATGACTGGGGAGCTTGGTAGGTCACCCATCACCCGTGGGAGGGGAGTAATGATAGAGTGTGGCGCTTCGATTGGTCGGGGGGAGGTAGCCGCGACTGCCACCAGCCGGACTACGGATAGGCACAAAATTAACTTCAGACAGTGATGCCACCAACCGAATCATAATAGCGTGTTCCAGAGCATCCACCCAATCGTTCTTCGCGACATTCCCCACAGTAGAGTCAGCTGAAGCGTTAATCGTGTCGAAGAGGAAGTACTACACCAATTCATACATTTAGTAATATACAGCAATAGCGAGATATATGTGGTTGTTACTAATAACAACTGTCCATATCAGTGTTAAATATGAATGATATCTCTGCGATCAGATGACTGATGGTATTATTAAACCTCGAAGTCTTTAAAGTCGCCTAGTTCACTGTCAATGTCATCATCATAATAACACATTTCATCTGGTAGAGGGGGCGGAACAAAGCGACTCGAAGATGGTGATGCACCTGCAAGGATGTCAGCAATTTAAGACAAAAACAATGATTTCACCCCCACAAGTGTTGTTTGAGAAGATTGATCCACGGTCCTTTGCGATTGCTATTGAATAAAGATTTATCTCGGCCTGGGCACGACACATTTTTGCTTGCAGGATAATGAACTCCAGCCCGATATTGCGCTGCCATGTATGACCAGGCAGAGAATGTGACAGTAATTCTGCCTGACAGGCTTGTTCTGCATGGAATGCACTGTAAAAGGCTTCTTGGACGTCCATGGCGACCCACGTGTTCAATATGGGTAACGAGGGACCGATGGACTTTAGAGACAGTAAGAGCAAACCAACACGAGTAATTATGACACTAACATTCATTATGACGGATGTTCGTTTGTCACCGTGCGCAGTACTGAATTCAGAAGTTGCACCATAGCTGTACAACAAAGAGCAAGTGTCTATCGAAGGTTCGGCATCTGGGATGGGATAGGCGTCTTGTCTCTTTAACCAAGCTTCACATTTGTCTCGCGTAGATGTTGAACAAGTTTGAGGTGCGTGGGCCAAAGCATGTCCTGAGCTTGTTGAAGGGGGGCTGAAATCGGGCTTCATTGAACTTTGGGCTGCTTGGTAGCAACAGGTTTCAGATTACTGATTCAGGCATTGAAGTTGAAGGAGCTCACGCATCCAGTGCTGCTGCAAATGTTCGATAGCCTGACTATACAAAGACACCTCCATCTGGCTTCATTTCTTTCTCTCCTCCAGGAGAAGATGCTCTAGAAATACATGCTTTCTCCCCTTCAATCCAAATGCGCAGAGGTTCTGGTGCTGTTGTAGCATTAATTCTTGCTTTGCTTCTATAGTGCGCTCCCCAACGAGTTCCCACAAATTGCCAGTGTAGACTCGGTCTTTGAGCAGAAATGACAGAACTTTGAGTTCGGTTTGAAGCTGTATCAAATGTTCAGGAAGTAAAAATGTAGATACAAGATAATTCACTGGCCTTATCATCAGCTATGAGTGCTATGTAGGCGTCCAGCAGCCCAATGCCCAATGAGTTCGAAAGTGCAAAAATGTTTAGGCGAGCAGCTGATGCGTCAAACAGATGTGAAGTCTCATCGAAAAACAGCTCGACTCCATCAGGACCTGACTTTTACGTGGGTGAAAGAGTATATGGGGGCCGACATCAGCACTTGCAAGGGTTTTTTTGTAGCGGCGACCGAACACCTAAAAGGGCAAGAGCAAAGATCTGAGATCTTGTTCTAAGTAAAGCTGGCGGTCCCCGCCAGGATCAAAAGTTCTTTGGCCATGCTGTATCATAATATTAACTATGGCAGGGACGAGCTCCCTTATATGTCTGCATTACCGTATCAATAGACGTGCTGCACCTGCAGTGGCACTGAGTATGGTCGCAATACAAGAAATAAACATTAGTACCACTGACGTGTGAGGTCGGTGCTAAGCTTGATTTGCCACTGTTGAGAGTCTCAGTCCGTTCTAGAGGCTAGAATAAATATCATTGGAAGATAACATTTCAATGATTTTCGGTCCCGTAACATTGTTGATCCCTTGGCCATTCACACAGGAAGGGTTGTGTCAAGTGGCACAATCACTAGGATTATATCGTTAGCTAGCAGCGGTCAAAGAAGTAAGTTTGCCAGCCTAAGAAACCTGTGTTTATGTTGGATCTGACCGTACGGTCGTACTTTGAAGTAACGCCCAGCAGCAGTAGGAGTGATGAGGCTTGAAATACTAGGACGTTCAATGAAAATGATCGCTTTGGAGTTGCTAGCCGAGTGGCAGCCTCAGTATCCCTGTCTTCCATGGTTATTGGATCTGTAAGGGTCACACTGTGACATTGTAACCGTGAACAAGTTGAGCACTTCGAAAGCTCAAAGAGCGGTTGCATGTGAATTTGAAACTCCGCAACTCCTCACTCACTGGCATGCTTGAACTCACATAATTTGAATTTCGCAGTCTTTTTGATATGATGCGCCTTGAATACATACGGTTCTACGATGGATAACTAAATGAGGGGGCCAACGCCCAGGAAGTCGTCACCCATCCAATTTGCGGTGCACGAGCTGGCCTTTCCATTTTCGGTTTGGAGACATTAATTCGAGAATCGTCATCTAGTATCACTAGTCCGAGTCTAACTACTTGTCAGATCATCTTCATTGCTTTTTCCTCCCTCCTCTGAAACAGATGTGGTGGTTCATCGCCGACCTTACTCCTACTCGCATGCACTTTTTGCACTTTTTAAACAGGCTCTGAAACTCCTCCGCAGTAATTTCATTGTCAACAGACGATGAAAGCTTGTTCAATAACTCTGTTTGCTCCCGCACGGTCCACCTGAATCGAATGTGTGTGGGTTTCTGATTTTTGGGGCCTTTCACTGATCAATGAGACTGTAGTCTAGCAGTGAATGAAGTTATACCTCTTCGTGGGTACTGGAAGGCAGCAAATGGTGCTATCGGGAAGTACGTGTCGATTTTCACTAGGTGATGGTCAGTGTTGTATCATCTTGAACAAGACAAATGCTGACCTTGGTATCCGCACGTATCAGAGGCGCATCTTGCGATGCGACGACTCTTTTCAGCAGTCTCATTCCACCAAGAATATACTGCCGTCTCTACAAACGCCCCTATGCCGCCGCTGTCAGCGCATAGACAGCACGGATATTTAAAATCATGTGTTTCCCGGTACTTCTCTAAGTTGCATGGTGGAATCTTCTTTCCCTCGCCATCTGCAGGCCTGCATTATTCGGAGTGATGTTATCTTTTGATCTGCAGATGATCCAATAGACATCTTACCAACACCATTCGACCATCGATTTCGAAGCCCTGTCATAGTGTAACAGCGCCAAGTGGCAAGTCATAGCTTCTGTAATCATCTTGGCCAACCTTTGAGCATCTTCGCGACAGTCAGGTGGGATCGTGATGGTAGAGGAAGGCGACGACGGTGGTTCCATCGAGTGCAACAGTAGTGCGGCATGGATTAATTTCCTTCTGAACCTTTATGAAATGTTGGCTTTGAGCCATATACGTCAGATGCACCAAGTGCGCCAGCATAGCCTGCTGTCACAGTGTGGGAACTTTGCTGGATCTGACTGGATCTGGCCAGATCTGACTGGAGTAAAGTTTTTTCATCACTGTTGTTGGCTGGAAGTGGTGAGTTTCTATCTGATCCTCTAGCATTGAGTTCAACCATACGTTTCAGCCCTCTCTATCATGAATCCTGCAAATCTATCGTCTGGTCGAACCCCTTTCCGATGCACTTGCATGTGTGAGTTTACGCAGGAGAATGCATATACTAAACATCAGCACTCGTGTACGAAAGGCAAGAAGTGTCTCTTCTCGGCTTTATCCAAAGCAAAAACATTCCTAGGATCAAAACGGACACATGTTGATAACAGCGGTGGCAGACAGACACCCAGTACGTGGTTCTACCTTCCACGAGACCCTTCGTTGTCTTACAATGCGATATTGCATGCAGAGCCTTCCAATACTTGCCCAACAGCGTCTGCAGTGCTCCCACTCCAGGAAGTGTTGTTTGCAGAGTCTTCATCACACCATACATCTGGCTCGATATGTAATGCCATTCTTAGCACGACATCTGTAGGTATAGACGAGGAGTCTTCACTGGTGCAGCGAAGGACTCGGCGTGTTGGCATTCCTATGCCATCACGCTACAGACAGTACGATGACATACTTCTGCAGCCTCCCCCAAGTGTTTCCTTCAATCAGACTCCTCAACAACCGGAAGTTGACCCACTTACAAATTCTGATGATGTGTCTACCACTGCTCATGCATCCTTGCGGGCTCCTCCTTTCTGTACGGCCAGGAATGTATTTGGGCTAGTGCACCAATTCCTCTCGTCGACTCCCCCGTCTCATGACCCAGAAGAGGCCATAACACTCCGAGATATCAGTTATCTTCCAGCCGCTACTCCAGCAGAACCGGATATTCTCTGCGAGCCTCACGACAGGCCATTTTATCCGTACCCCAATCGATCCTCTTTTGAACTTGGTGACTGGTACTGGAATGGCGGCACCCAGAAGTCCCATCAGAGTTTCAAGGAACTTATCGACATCGTCGGACGTCCTGATTTTGATCCTAATGATGTACGAAGCACATCATGGGACAAGATCAACATGCGATTAGGTGGGAGCATCGATGATGGCGGGGGAGACGGATGGGAGGATGAAGACGCGGGTTGGCGTAAAACCCAAGTGACGATTGAAGTACCCTTTTCTCGCACAACGGCTCAGCCAGATGCTCGACCTTATGTGGCAGCAGATCTCCACCATCGCCCTCTCGTTTTTGTTATTCGGGAAAAGCTCTCTAACCCTCAGGACGATGAATTCGTTCATTACGAGCCTTACCAACTGCGATGGAGCGCCCCCCACCTTCAACGTGAAGTAAACATTCAGGGTGAGTTGTACACTTCTCCAGCCTTCATGGATGCGCACCGCGATCTTCAGGCGTCCCCCGGAGAACCAGGATGCAATTTGCCCCGTTCAATTGTCACACTTATGTTTTGGTCAGATGCTACACACCTGACGAGTTTTGGTAACACGAAACTATGGCCAGTTTATATGTACTTTGGGAACGAATCCAAGTACCGTCGGTGTAAACCCTCCTGCCATTTGGGTAATCATGTGGCGTACTTCCAAAAGGTACATTTTAAATTAATCATACTCTCTCGCATTGAGACTGACGCCAAGCAGCTTCCTGACTCCTTCAAAGACTTCACAGGTACTTACACCCAAGGTAAGGGGGTCGGCCAGGAATGCGCTACCCATTGCCATCGTGAACTTTTCCAAGCTCAATGGAGGATTTTGCTCGATCTGGAGTTTTTACACGCATATGACCATGGCACTGTGATTCTTTGTTGTGACAGCGTCATCCGTAGGTTTTACCCCCAAATATTTATTTATTCTGCTGATTACCCTGAGAAGTAAGTTATCAGTACCGTCTATGAGATATGATACTGCAGCTCATGAAATTCAGGGTTCTCGTCGCAACTATCCGGCAGCTGGGAGGTTGTCCCTGCCCGCGATGTCTCATACCAATGGGACAACTTCATAATCTAGGAATGAGTCGTGATAGACAGCAGCGTACAACTCTTGCGCGCTCCGATGCATCAAGGAGTAAGCTGGTTGCCATGGCACGCGATATCATATACAACAAGAACTACGGTGTAGACAGCACAGCAGTCGAGACACATCTAAAGCCTCATTCATGGGTGCCAACCTCAGTGAGCCTGTCCATTAGCTTCTTTCCTCACGCTTATCCAAATTTGTTTAGAACGCGTTTTCAGACTGCCTTGGCCCACTCGGATTCAACATGTTTGTTGCTCTCGTCATTGATCTCCTGCATGAGTTTGAGCTCGGGGTTTGGCGTATGCTTTTGATTCATCTGTTACGAATCCTTTGCGCTTTTGACAAAGATCTGATTCATGAGCTTGATAGGAGGTTCGCTATATATGTACCCTTGATGATTGCTCGAATACTCAATTAACTTTGACAGGTACAGGCAGGTCCCCCCGTTTGGACCAGCCACCATTAGACGATTCTCTGCAAACACGTCCGAGATGTCGAGCATGGCTGCCCGAAATTTCAAGGATCTTTTACAAGTATGCGAAACAAAAATTACAAACTTTCATGAACTGATTTTTTCAAGTGTTCCATCCCAGTGTTTGATGGCCTGCTTCCTGGCGATCACAACCGAATCGTGTTGGATCTCCTGTTCGTCATGGCTCACTGGCATGGACTTGCAAAACTCCGTATGCACTCCGACATCACTCTGGAAATCCTCGACCAACGAACGACTGATCTAGGCAAAAAATTTCGTCAATTTAAAACGAAAGTTTGTGCTGCATATCACACCCAGGAACTCGATCGTGAAATTGATGCACGGTCTCGCCAGCAGGCAAAGGTAGCAGCTAAACGAGCAGAAACGGGCAATGTAGATGTTGTGGGTCAGGGGACTGCGGCCCGAAAGTCTAGGACGGATGTTGTCACTAAAGGGAAAAACAAGGCGAGTTTGGGGCAGTCTCAGGATGCATCTGCACCAAAGCAGCTGCGAAGGATGAAGATGTTTAATTTTCAAACTTACAAATTTCATGCGCTTGGGGATTATGTAGCCTCAATCCGTCATTTTGGAACAACGGACTCATACAGCACTGAACCAGTGAGTTGTAATTCGCTCCTCCTCCTTGTCTTAACTTGACTATTATCAGGGAGAATTGGAACATCGTAACCCGAAATGCAGATACTGTCGCACTGATCGAAAAACCTTCACTTGCCAGTTGACGCAGATCGAGTGCCGTCAAACGCGATTACGCCGCATCAAGCAACGCCAACAACAGTGAGCCTCTCGTGCAGAGGTTAATGAAACAGCGAGCGATCCCCAACTGCACCATCATATCGGCCTAAGCGAGAAGATATTTGATGATTTTGGCTACTACCTCCGTAGTCATGCTAAAGATCCTGCTATGAAGGTAAGTAATTTTCTACTTCGTGGAGATCATTTTGAGACGGCACTCAGGACTTCCTGCCTCGGTTGAAGGACCACATTCTGGATCGCCTTGAGCTGGGGGAGAAACCAGCTCGTCTCGCTCAAGAACACGACTCAATCATTTTCAAGTGTAATAGAATATACCATCACAACATTGCAAGATTTAATTATACCACGTACAATGTTCGAAGGGCGCAAGACATCATAAATCCACGGACGCCTCATTGCAATATCATGATATTGAAGCGCCATGATGACTACAGTGATGGTATCTGTGGCAACTACCATTATGCCAAAGTCCTTGGTATTCATCATGTCAATGTTATTCGCGTAGGGGACATATACGAGTCTCACAGATTAGAATTTCTCTTCATTCGACGGTACGAATCTATACAAAGTCACTCATGGGAAACACGCACTTTAGGTCGCATTCGTCTCATGCCACTGTCAAATGAGAATGCATTCGGCTTCGTGGACCCAGCGGTTGTTCTTCGCGCATGTCACATCATACTGGCCTTCTCTCGAGGGCAACGCAACCCCAACGAACACGGCATCTCCCCTATTGCAGGAGACAAAAATGATTGGTACAAGTATTATGTCAACAGGTGAGTGTTCTTTCCTACCTTGTTCAAATTTACTAATAATATAATGTTGTAGCTTTGTTGATCGAGATACTCTGATGCGCTTTCATTACGGGCTTGGAGTGGGCCATGTGTATTCGCATGAAGTGAGCACCCCAGAAAGCACTTGCTCGGTTCAAACTCAAGCGGTGAATGAACACTCGGAAATGGAAACTTTCAGCGAGAAAACCAACTGGCAAGCTCATACCGACAGTGACGATGAAGAGGGTGAGCACATTGGCGTCGAGGAGTTGGATCCTTTTCAACAGGAACGAAATGGGAGTACAGAGTCACTCATTGAGGCTCTCGAAGACATGTTTACTGATCTAGCATTCGATTACGAAAATTAGCGATCCGTATGCCAATGTGATGCTGGGTGCAATTATATTTCCCATTCCCAACCCGGATTCGAGGCTAGCACGTTCAGGGTGTCGCTTATAATTCCTGGCGCGTTGCGCTGGTTTCGCTTAGTTCTGGTGCTGTCAGGTTTCTGGCTCTTTGAGCTAGGTATCAAATTGATTTAATTTATTCTAGCGCGTAGTTGAGTAATTTCTCGATCCTGGCGCGGCTTTCATTCAGATCTGTCTGTCTGGCCATCTCAGGTAACACATTGCAATCTTTATCATGTAAACACATCTTAAAAGTCTGATAGCTCGCCAGTCCTCCAGTCCCCCAACTCCCCACCACCTTTCTCCATGGATCTGCAACGTGAGTTGACTTAACTCAATTCACTCGCTCCCTTCTCACTGACAATTCGATGTGAATAGCTCAGCTCACAGCTCCAATTTTCTTGTACATGCCCAGTATAAGTTGTGTGCTGCAAGTAATTCAATCACCTGTATGTTATTCAACTTGAAATTGTATGTGTGACATATGCTGATGCCTTTTCTACAGAATGCCGCAGTTTGTCATTGTCTATCTGACCTATTGTTTCTATCTGACTGTTATTTCAGCATCCTTTTGTCGGCTTCAGTGAGTCGGAGCGTTACTTGGTGATTGGTTATATGGCACACCAATATTGTGAGATCTCTCCGATCTATGTGAGTCATCCGCAAAATCAGTTGTTTTGTCTCATTGTATGGGCTCTAGTGCCCAGATTACGCGGTGGTGACTGGTTTGGAGGCTCTTCTACCTATTGTCGGTGTGCTCGCGATCCACCAACATGGGGATACAGTGTTTTATACTGTTTATGAAAAGCAGGTAAGATCTACATCATATTGGAAATAACAATCCTGAAACTATCAACATAGCTTGGCGATGGTAATTTCCTTCGAGCGACTGAGACCCAGTTTTGTCGGCCAAATGCAGCAGGGATCGCCAGCCCCCTGTGGATTGTAGGTGTTGCCCTTAGTGTCCAGCGTTCTGTAGAATGATTTTTCCGTTTCCATAGGCCAGTGATCTCCAGGATCCCATCCGATTCAACCCAGCGACATTTCCGTTTGGTTTCCCACCTCCCATCGTTACAAATATGGTACCGATTCCTACCCAATCTGTGATGGACGGCCAGTTCGCTTCCGCGCCTCAATCAGTTGGGCCGAATTGGTCTGCCAAATACGATCATGTCATCGATAACGGCGACTACATCACCACGGCATTGCTTGGTTATGTTGAAGACTCATCCATCCCTCCACGAGAACCAGAAGAACCCGAGTATTTTGGAGTGATCTCTCCCACAGTCCCAGCTGTGTATAGCCCGGCACTGGTTTGGAAAGGTACAGATATCCTCCTCCACAACGATGACAGGAAGGCGATCAAAAACTCGATGAACAGCTCAGTGTGGAAGCGCCCGATGTTTTTAACAAAGTGTCTCTTCCAAGGAAGTCTATGGGTCGGGTTAGGAAACCCGTTCGATCCTGCTTGTCAAGAAGACCGCGTTATGCTCACCAATTGCTTTTTGGAGGCGATATCTCTTGACCGTACATCATTGCAACAATTGGTCAACCATCCGGGTGAGCATCTTTCTTGAATTCCACGAGTCGCTAACTAATAACATGATTAGTGATCTTACAAAGCCCCCTCGCACACCTACCCGCCGGAGCATCCATTGGATGGGACACCATTCGTTTGACTGTACATTTTTCTCGTGCCTTGCTTTCGCTCACTTAAGCATTATGAGCAGTTCTTTGGCACCATTGAGAACAAACTTTCGGAGTTGCGTAAGATCGTCTGGGGGTGCATTCGCTTGAAATCTGAATTCTCGGGTGACTCGTCTGATGAACGGGACAAAAAAGTTAAATTTTTCTTTGATCTTTTCAACTCAAACGATCAAGACGATGTACGTGACAGAGCCCTCGTGATTTGACTCCATAACCTATGGGTGTTTCAGATTGAACTAGCTATCGCTCAACTTGTGGAGTTGCACATGTACAAGGAACTCATGTGGGGGTCGTCGTTACAAACCTTGAGTGGTTTGACTGAGGGCTGCCCCGCTGGCAGAATCACCAATTTATTTCCCGAAGAAGTTCGAGGCGGAAATATGGCACTAGGAAAACGTTTTGCTTCAATGTTGCTAACCGTAGTAAGTGTCTCGTCGTTGTTGCTTGTGGCAATAACAGTTACATTTGTCGTATCAGATTTACCATACATTTCATCTTTGGCAACCGGCCAAGACTCCTGGCCGCAGACCGGAAACTATGTATCACGTCATTCTAAATGCCGTGACGCACATGTATGCCAACCCGCACCAGTTTCCCAAGTTTATGAAGACAATGGCTAGGTTGCTTTTCATAAGGTCAGTGTCCTTGGTGTATTTTGGCATTGGTTGTGATTCATAACGACGTTCAGGGTTGTGAATGTGTTCCCCATAGATCCTAAGTCCCTCGCCCCTAGATCAGCTGTGAGTGAGAAACGACAGAGAACTCTGAGTGATATCAAGCCTATCATGCAGACGGAGGTCGATTTTCCCGAACTCCCTAACGCAGCGTTCACGTCTGTTCGATCGCAGAGAATCAAGGAGGTCGCTGCCACATCATGCTTTGAAGATGATTCTTGACGGAAAATGACTCCCCGCTGTTCATGTACAATATTGCACCAGACGTTGGATGTGTGTGCCAAGCAATTCTATTATTTCCACTGACGACGTTTGAGATAATTGCAAAAATTCATCTATGCCCACCCCGACACCCTCTTTGCACAATCCTCCGATTTGAAAGCCCCGCGTGCTTTGATACCTCATGATATGGATCAAGGATACTCTACGAAGAGACATCAATGCAAACATCGTGTCTATTCCAAAGCGCTCGAATACTTACAATTTTTTGAAGCCAGATGACATTCTTCGTGCCACAATAAGACAGTCTATGCCAGTGGTCTACCGTGATGTATTTGATCAACAGTATCTCGGGGAGAGGACGTGCTCAAAAAAACAGGTGAGTTAAAAGTCAGTGAACGATTGTAACAAAAACAAACACAAACCGATCATTGGAGTCAGGTGGAATTGAGATGTATCGGGTGTGTTGAGCAAATATAACCGTCAGCTCAGAGCTTGAGGACTTATTACGGGTGGGTTATACTCACCTTTTCCAATTTCTCTAATATTTTGTCGCAGTCCAAGCAAATGCAAATCGATGACCTGCTTGTAAACCTCAACAACGCTAGTGATGACATGGAAAGTCCTTTCAGATGTTCTCATCAACTGCAAAGGTGTCACATGACTCACTAACGATGATGATGCCTCGGACAAGATCGTTGCAGTAGCTAAAAGCGCTGGTGACATTGGCCTGCGCTTCTTCTTGAACCTGTCTACAAGCTTGATCTTCTGCAACCTGCACAGCGGAAGAAAGTTTCAATGCGCAACAACAGTGAAGCACGAACCGCCCTTGCTTGTCTCTCGGAAGTCGTGGACACGCTCATACCCAAATGTACCAATGGGGGTGCATTGGCATGGGCCAATGGTGATACCAATGACATTGTCGAGCATGAAATGCAGAGCGCTGCAGCAGCCATAGAAGCTGCTACTCGGCGTTTGCAGGAGCTCATGTCTCGGCTTCGCGACTCCGCACGGTTGATGTTGATCGGCAAGGCTCACAAAAGCTGCCACAGAGTCTCAGCAAGAAATCGTCGCATAAGGCAAAGGCTCAAGCTTGTGAACACTTGAACCAGGGTACGAGTGAGTACATCGAAGTTTGCTTCAAAGACTTATTCACTTACTGAGCAAACACAGATTACATAATCATTACCGCAAGACAACCAGCCTGTTTGTCTTTGTTTGCACCGAATCTCAAGATCGATAATCGCCATTCAATAACCGCGGAATCACTTATGGTAAGCCCCTGAAATCTAGTCGATTCCGCCGCATCAACATATCATTAGATGTCTCGAGTAACACAAACGGCTAGCAGGGGACCGTTGGCGATGAAAGACGGGAAGGTTCTAGTAAGTAATACATCAAAATCGGTATCACATAGATAACATTTCTTTCAGACTCAAGTAGACTTCTGGTTGAATGCAGTAAGATTGTCAGTAGACTGTTGCTGGTGGCTTACCCAAGTCGTTCAGCGACACGATCAATCGGTCACTAGACCACCTCCATCTCGTTGTCGGGTTGCAAGCAAGCTCCGCGTCGTCACGCGAAACATCACAAACAATGTTCAATTGGTCGCTAGACCACCTCCATCTCGTTGTCGGGTTGCGAGCAAGCTCCGCGTCGTCGCACGAAACATCGTGAACAATGTTCAATCGATACTTTGGGTGAGTGTTTTTGTAATTAGCGCGACGATAATTTCTTACGACTATATTTTTAGCTATAGTGCATGATCGATATCGATTATCTTACGTTACTACCTTGTATCACAACATGTAGCATTAGCTCAAGCGCTCATCTCAGACAGACGCGTTACAGAACACTTTGCAGAGGTGGAAATTTCAAAGTACATACAATTCAGCCAGTATTCATGGTGTATACCCGTCCTACTAATAGTACACCTGTATAACACCTACATAGCTACCTCCTTGATCATCAAATTCATCCGGCTGGCAGGAAAAAGCATGTTCGCTATAAATAGGTTCAGGGTTCATCATAGCGGGTGTATTAGTACAAATCTCACATATCATCGTGTGAACACCTGCATTGACAACTCGACTTGTCGCACCATAACCACAATGGTACGTTCAATCGCAAGTCGCGTTAAAGCTGCATGCTCAAGCTCCCATGTAAGTCCAAAGCTGATAGCGTCAATCAGCAGATAGAGCTGCTGAAGTGCAGTGTCCCCATATGGCCGACACAACTTCGGCGGTATACCGAAATACCACCGCTGTAAGTACCCATCATTCAAACAGATATGAGTACTGACTTAATTTGTATAGGGAGCCTCATCGTTATGATTATAATGTCGAGAAGATGCAGATCGACCCTGTTCGGTTTGTGGCAGTCGTTTGGAACTTGGCCAATTCAATCCTGATAGCGATAGGCTCGGTGTTCAAGGGGATTGGGATGAAATTATCCACCCGTCTGGAGCAATGTATCACTACAATGCAAGAATGGTGAGTGCTGGCTGGTCTTTCATGTTACATACCTGGTTTATAAGAACAAAGAAAACATATGCAGAAATGAACATGAGCACTTGCTCAGACCAACAGCTCCAGCGGTTGGAATCTTGGATCAACGCATCAAGGAATAAACTCGACAGGAAACAATGGTTGCTTGTCGTTGAACCGATCTCCGTGGGAGGAAGGGAAATCTACCCGTATTACTATGTCGTCCTGGAAGATCGCATGATCGCATGGATAGAACCAGTAGATGGTTACCTTCTATTCCAAGAGTGCACAACGGCGTGGCACTGGAACCACAAACGTACATTACTTTTTCGTGCCTTCATTAACTTGAACTCAATCGCACAGGACTTGAGCTGGAGGCCCAATTTTGGTGAGTGATCGTCAAAGGATGCCATCCCGAACTGGAATTTTACTCACCTCTCGACTAGGAAAAATGTCGAATATTTTCCACATGGGATTGAAGTACGTCTTTCTGAAGTAAAAGCTTTGCGAGTTCAGTTGAACTGGTATCGTGTAGGCGAGTACTTTAACACTATGGCGCCTAATCAGAATAACCTAAGCGAAACATAGAAGCGTTAGCGATAGAGCAATCAACTGCAGCTGCGCTATTCTGGACTCTCGATCAGATGAAGGAAATGGCTGCTGAGCTGGCCACTACCGGTACGTATCCTGATCTCAACCTTCTGTGCAAGTAATGACCGAAACAGAGGAACTTGCCGGACCTGCTGGGATCATGGAGCAACCGAGTGTTGCAATCTGTGGTACGTGAGTTTTGGAAACGCCATGATTACAAACTTATCGTGAACAGGCAAAATAATGCACATGCTTCGTATGACTTAGCTTTCCCATACCCGACGTCGTTGATTAATCGATCAAAAATAGGTCACCATGAATACCTGAACCATCATGGCCGACCCGAAGCTCGCTTAATGCGAACGCACTCACTGACAAAGAGACGCAATAACCTTGCGAACTCTCCCTTCATGGCCAGCGCTGAAATTGTGATGCTTTGGACTCCAATAGTGGCGCTCAAGCAGCTTAGAGATATATATGTGGACGGTATCGTAAACGGGATCGACATCAGGGGATTTACGGAAGACTTCAACGCCCAGTCCAAAGCTCAAACTACTGTGGTGAGCGTTACGTCGTGGATCTAGATGAGAACACTTACCTTTGACAGGCAAGTGTCATCTTGGCAGTCAACGCCAGCATCCTTGCGGTCCCGGGTTTGGGCGCACCATCCCCTATAAAAACCCTGTGCTCTATCTCATTCATCCTCAGTGTCTTCTGCATTGTTGCCTGCACGATGGCACAGCACTTTGGATACAGGCTGAGATCCCTCGATTTCGCGGTTCGAGCGTCCTTATCTATTCAAAGAAAATATCGGCCTGACATTACTAACTCAATAGGTGTATTACTTACAGGGGAAGATGGCGGGTCTTGCGATCCTTGCAAGCATACCCAGTTTTCTGTATCTCACAAGGTAACCAAAGCTTTGATCACAATCACTAATTACTCACATTTTAGATCACTACAGCTTGGCATTTGCTATTCTCGGGTTTCTCGCAGGGATCTTCACAGGTGAATTCAGGCTAGCGTTATCTGCAAGGATCATGTGCGGGCTGGCCCTTGTTGTTGGGACAGGTCTCACGATTCCATTGATGATGGCCAGTTTTGGCCATCCTGGGCTGAGTCGATGATGATGCATTGCATTGCAAGGGACATCATGCCATCGATGTTAACGTTCAACTTGAGTAAACAACGAACGAAGTACTGCCTTAATTCACTATTTGCTATGGTATGCAAAGATGGTCTAGTTATGTACGGCTAAATCTATAACTAAATCACATGTATAAAATCCATTGGTTCGACCTTCGTTTCGCCTGATTTTTGATCATTTTATATGCTGCAATAAGTGCAGGTGACGATGTCGGAAACTTGACCCCTCGATTTACTGTCAATATCTGATGCGCTATGGTGCTAGCGGAGTTTTAATCTATCTTGCTCTTCCATGTCGATTATCTAGCTTGCCACCGTGTATGGCGTCACCCATCGGACCACTGATTCATGATCAACGATTCAAATCGCATGGACTGAACTCGGAGCAAGGTTTGTGTTTTGACTTTGGTTTAACCCTTTGCTCATTCTTTCCAGTTTCGTTGTCTCCAATATAGGCGAATTCAGCAGGAGCATCCTTGGCTCGCATTTCAAACACAACGATGTTCATTCTCCCTCTAATTCTATACATCTACTAACACCACCACAGTTCTCAAGCTTCGCTGGTATGATGGCGGCTGTTATTAACACAAAGCTCCCTCTAGTCAGAGAACTTGTTCGGTGAAGATTTAGAGGATGAAGAAGGTTTGTTTCGTTCTGCGTAATAAATTGAGTCGCGAGCTCATATCATGCAGTGTTTGCCGACTAAGAAGGCATCGAAGACTACAGAGACTAGTCTCACGAATTTGCATCGAACGGTCTACTTGACGATCATGAACACCCTCAATTATGAGGAAGCTGCACACAAGTTCAAAACACAGATCAAAGAAGGCGATGAGGTATGTGGTCATATCATATAGTTAATGTTTTGTACATGCTTGACCGTCTTTTTAGATTAATCTCATCAATATAGTGATTGAATTTTGCTCCCAAGAACGTTCTTAGTCTACCTTTGATGGTCTTGTTCGTGAGTGCTCGTGTGCCCTAAGCTAGCGCACACACAGTGAAAGCCATTTCGCATCCTCTCATGTAGCTCTCATTTGCCGATAGGCAGTCTGGCCGCTTGCGGTGATGATGTTCGCTGCAAGTATGATAGCAAGAGCATGCGACGTCATAATCTTGATGAAAATACGGCTTGAGCTTGAGCTTGTCGTATCCTCCGCAATAACCTCGACACACAGGAAATGACATCCGTTGCAATCGTATACCCGAAGAAAGGAGAAATGTTGCGCAGGCGATTAGTCTCATACAATTGGGCTATTGTGTAGTAATGTCTACTTGAGAGCATCTGTCCAGACAAGTCGAGTTTGCTGAAGGTCACCTCATCCGCTACCGCAATTCTATGGTATGTCTTTTGCATTTACTCCTCCTCGTCATCACCTGAAAAGGATAGTCAGTTCACGAAAATGAGCACATATCCGACTTACTTTGAATCGGAGAGGGGGAATCCCATGTGATCTGGCGGGGAGAGCAGGTATTAATCCCACATGGTGCGTGTTTTTCCAACACCCTTGCCCGATAACTTTCTTCTAACCAACAAAGTCTGTATTTTTGATATAGTTCTTCCAGCCTCAAGCAGCCTATTTCTGCATGTCTCAATCGCTCCTTGAGGTTGGATATGGACTCCTCCTCGCTCGTTTCGTGGTCTCTTATCAGCAGAAGGTGAGATTGGTTTTGACAGCTCTCACCAACGTCCGCATCGCTAATCTATGCTGAGCTTCTGAAATGACTGGTAAGGGCATTGACGAACCTCACACCGCGACCTGTGTCTTCCTCTCTCCTTTTACCGATGTTGTCCGTTATCTCGATCCTAACAAAGGGCAGGGGCATTCTAGTCAGCAAGTCCGCAAGGCGAGTCACATTCAGGTTACCGTAAGTTCAAGTTGATGTTATGTCCTTGCAGTTTGAAGATCTGACACGGAGGTTGTGGCATATTGGCAGATGTGTTTTCTAGTGGCGAACTATGCTTGTGAATATTTTGTTCTTTACTTAAATCCATGTCTATGGCTAACTAAAATATATCTGGTGATCGGCCACTTGCCAGTGGCAGGTCGTTCTGGCACTAGTTACTGTGCTTAATCGGCTGGCTTGTTACCTCACTGGCGCAGACCGCCAATTACCTCATTGGCGCAGACCGCCAATTACCTCACTGGCGTAGGTTGCTGATTACCTCACTGGCACAAGTCGCCGCCATTCATAGTATCACTCGGCATTTTTTGATGTGAATAAAATGGTAGATTCCAATCTGCGAAGTATAAACCACCTTTACTTTCTCCAGCACTCATGTCCACTGAAGACGCTACTACTTCTAGTTTTCCGAACAAACGTGGCTCGTCTGCCCTCCAAATGGGGCCTCGAAAAAAGGCGTAAGCTATCTCCAATGTTCGTTGCAAGGTGTTACAAACTCACCGTATCAACTAGTTCTTCATCTGATCCACTTGTGTCCCATGGGCGACATTTTGGTCGGACAATGTTCGCGCTGTGCAATTACCCTTCCCTGCTCACCAACGGCATCTTAAGACTAGATCAGATGGAAGATACGCCACTGGAGGATTTCCCCGCTGAGTAAAAAGTGCATATCTTTCTATTCTCTCGGTTACTGACTTGTTTGGCAGAGAGCGGCGAGAACATCGTGTCTTCGAGCAGTTGTTAGAATCATATCCTGGTCTTCTGGATCGATTAAAAGACGGCTCTGAGGAAGACATTCTTCATGTCGGAGAACTAGTACATAATTCTCTTTATGGTCAGACTTCTTACTTACAAATTACAGATTGGCAAAGGAGCTGCAGGCACGAAAGGCGACGACACAAAAACATTGAAGTCTGCAATCCTTGATTGGATTGCTCCGACAGGAGAAGCGATCCATCCTCCTTTGCACAGGAATGTTAAGGTTGACCGTGGATTTAATCATGAGCGCACAGGATTTCTTCTTTGTCCTGTTGGATTAGACTGGAACGACTCAGCATATGGTTTGTTTTCCTGGCATCCGCAATCCCGACTTATTTTGCACTTCTTCATAAACAGGACCAAAGACAGGCTACGGAGTGGCGAACTATGGGTCTGCGGAGATCAATGGCCCATTTTTGTATACGCCAACTATACGTATGACCCTGAAGATCCGTGGTTGGGTCTCCTAAGGAGCCGATTGCTTGTATACACGGGTGCCGTCTTTTCACGAAGTTCCTTCACTGTATCATATTCAACCAGGCTTTCAAGCACATCTTCACGTCCCCAAGCTCAGTCGAGAGAGAGCCGAAAGCCACGCGGTCGGGAAATGCTCGTCTGCATGGCATGACCTCAGTCACCATTGCGTCTATCGCTTACATTGCGACCCAGGTTCGTCGGGTGCGATGGTTTTGTGTGCAGACAATCTTAACTTGACTGAAGGTCTGGTTTGCGTTAAGCTCATCTTCGGTGTTCTCAAGGACCGACACAACCACAGATTCAGAAACGTTTTACCATAGCCTTCTTGACCTTTTTGAAGACCCCAAAGAATCCAAGGAAGTGGATGAACTGACGACATGGTGAAATCGGTATTCTTATCACTACTTCGTATGTTGCAAATGCTCATATATTGCCAGTCAAATATGTCCCACTGCTTCTGCTGCCAAGCGACCAGTCTCCGCCAACAGCGCATTAATGAAGATCCGACAAAGACAGCTTGCTTTGAAACAAGTCCAAGTCTCGAGTCCAAACGTGATTTCTTCATAGTTTTCATTTCAACGTGTATTCGTATATAGAGTACAAAACTACACACAAATCACGTTCGCAAAATCAAACATCCCATCCTTATATGTGTTCGAAAGCTACATCTCAGTGCCAGCCTATTGCCATATCGTGGTAATTTTATTGAATGTGATGGTCAAGCGTCGAATGTGTGATAAGTAAGGGCCAGGTCAGTCTGGCATTGTAAGACTTTAGCTGCATCCAAAATTCAGGGAGAGTCTGTAGACAACGGAATAACTCGATAACTTGACATACAGAATATCTCGCCAGGGTTGGGCAGTATGGCAGTACATAACCGCTCGTCGCCCGCAGGATGCACTTGGCAGCTCTGGACAAAACAGACTAGCATCACGACCACATACCTAACATAATCATCAAGGAAGCTGTGGCAACAGTAAGCTTGGCTCATAAAAAAAATCACACTTATGCAGACTGGTACCGCATTGCGGACACATGGCACCGTTAGTCCATAAGCAGCGTTGGTCCAATGCAACCTAGCCATATAATGTTTTATCAAGTGGTGGGCGCCTGTTAAGAGACTGTGAGAGCGTGAAAAAAAGTCAGAGGTTACATCTCTTGGGCAGTGCAGGCTAGCGCTGCAAGCACATACCTAGCATCCTCAGCGAGGGAGTTGTGGTAGAGAGCGCAATGGCTTGCAGGAGACAACAATGTCAATACAGCTGGGTATTGCATTGCGGACACTCGGCACCGTTGGGCCGTAAGCAGCATCTGTCCAACACAATCCAGCCATATAATGTTTTATCGAGTGGTGAGCGCCTGTTTATAGACTGTGAGAGCGTGAAAAAAAGTCAGAGGTTACATCTCTTGGGCAGTGCAGGCTAGCGCCACAAGCACATACCTAGCATCCTCACCAAGGTAGTTGTGGTAGACAGCGCAACGGGTTGTAGAAGACAAAAATGTCGACACAGCTGGGTATTGCATTGCGGACACTCGGCACCGTTGGGCAGTAAGCAGCATCCGTCCAATGCAATCCAACCATATAATGCTATACATAAGATCAGCATCTGTTCAGGGATGACAAGGGAAACGAAAATAGTCCAAAGTTACAATATGGTGCTGCTGGTCGTCAACTAGGCATTAGTAATCATCTCAACAACCGCTGGTACTAATTGCAATGTGTCATAATCAGGTGGGTAATTGCAAGTGAACTGTCGCAATCGTGCCTTCGGCGGTTTCCATCAACTAAGTCCAGGTATTCAAAGCTTTCTCATGTGAGGTGCAATTGTGATTTATATTTCGCAAATTTTAAACAAGATATGACTTTGTAAAGGTTTATCATTTTTGGGTCGGTTACCTGATGAAATTAAGGAGACTAAGGAGATTCATTTCCTTAAACTAAGGAAATAAGGAGCGGTTGCCTTAAAATCAGGCGGATAAGGCAGTCAAGGCATACTATTATTTCAGTAGACACAAAATAATCCAAGTAGGCTAAGGCGAAAATAAGGACGTCAACGAGTTCAAAACATTCTATGAAAATGTCCAAAAAAAAAAAAAAAGGTGTAGGACAGCGAGAGCAGCGATTGAAGCGAAACGATATGAGGCTGGGAGACGAGCATGCATGTAGAAAAGCCAAGCGAGTTCTGTCAAAAATTATCGCGTTAGAGCAGGAAGAATTAGAATAAAGAAACAAATACTTCAAATACGGATACACATGCGTGGATTCACTGGCATGGGGGCTGACTTTGACCGTCGAGAATACTAGACTCTTCATCTTGACCCTTGCGGCGAGCACACTTCATGTACAGCTGAGCTCGTTCGACAATTTCTTTTATGCGGTCGAAGGGCAGCTCCTCAATTCGTTCCATGTACGCGAGTGTGTCAGTCTCCCAATTACCCGCAGAAAAGCAGTGCCTGTGTTACTCATTTTGTTAGTGGAGTGATTGAGAGTTAGGGCGATCTTGTGTTGCCCGTGGTCCGAAGTATCTTCCACAATGAGGTCGTCGCAAGCTAAAATAAGTGCACGCTTGGCCTGCAAATGAAAGTTAGGAAGTTTTGTAAAGGCGGTGCAAAACTCACGGCTGCAGTGGTCAGTGCAAGGGCCGTTGGATATGCAGGTAAGCCGAAGTCGAGCGAGTCAATTATCTGGTGTCCTTGGGTGGCATTGAGTTGAACAGCGAAGATGCGCAAGATGAATTCCGATAAGAAAGCTCCAGGTGAGTCTTCGTTATTTGGATCTTCATATACAAAGCGTGAATCTTTAAGTTGATATTTGGCATATTCTTTGCGTGCCCCCTTGGTCTTGTATTCGTCCGTGGAGGCGAAAAATGCCATGAGAATGGTGATAGCAGTGGAGCCGAAGTTACCTCTCCACTCAGAGATCCTTTGGCATACCTGCCAGCATAGTTGTCAGCTAGAAGTACCAGAATGGAAATAACTCACGAGGTTGAAGGCGATATTGCAGCCATCATCATTCCTGAAGTCTCCAGGCTGCTTACACACCGCCATGAAGATATCCTCAAGAACGTCTGAGAGTTTCTCATTGGGGATGGTCCATGGATAGCTGTTATTGCCGACCCAGTGCATGACCATTGGAATAAATATGGAATGAAAGCTTAGATTCTGAGCAGCGCTGGGTAAGTGAGAATTCTTTGGCTTTTCTTTCTTCAGATTGAGTATAGTATGTTGCGCACGTCCATTTTCGGTTTTGATGTACTTGGATTTTGGACTGTCCATTGTGGTATCCATGACGCTAACTGACATCTGCATAGGAATTTGTCAGCATTGTCAGGCAACCAGAGCAAATTCTCCATACAGAGCTTGTGAGTCGACTGTTTGATACTTCACAGACCTATAAGATCCATGATTGTGGTGAGCGATTCATCTATCTCACATGACCCACCAGTACTTACCTCAATATCACCCTGCTGATCCGTCATCTCAACATCCTCATCCTCATCCGGAATATGTTCGTTGGCATCTTGGTCTTCTTCCATTTCACGCCACTCTTTGGGTTCGAGGTCATCCAACAAGGTCGTAGACAAGGTACACTTTCGTCCCCTCGTGGCATCATCAACAGTCTCAATCATATGCACGACACCCTGCATTGATTTAAGCATTCCCCGTTCACAAACATGAAGTCACTCACCTGACCACCCCGACTCACAATTACGCTCTCATCATGATCTTCAGGTAGGTTTTTGTCTTCAGATACGTCCGCATCCCTGGTTGCGATCACTAAAAATTGTCAGCAATGTATGCAGACATGAAACTGAACCTACCACTGGCACGTGCACTTGGTGGTGCAGATGGCTTCCATTGGGACTTCGATGCCACGTTTCTAACCCACTTCCCTACTTCCACCTCCTCTGTCGATACGGCTTGTTCAAATCCCCTACATTGTAGTGAGTGAATTATATCGAAGTAATAAAGAGTCAGCTCTGATAAGAGTAACATCGCAGTTAAGAAGAACTTACAGTGACCTTCTATTTTTCCCACTGTCACTGCCCCTGCCCGCACTTAGTACCACACACGTTGTAGATGATGTACCATTGTTGGACACCTTTCGACTGGCATTGACACCATCCTTGAAGGTGAGTTTCAAACCTGGATATTTCTTCTTCGGGGTGTCAGTGCTTTGGGACACCGTTTTCGCCTCAACAGCTGTATAAATGCCAAAGGACCAGTGAGTCTTGCAACAGCATTATATTGCATAAGGCTTATGCGTCTTGTCGGGGTTTGCAGTTGGCGCTGTCTTGGTCACTGGGCGCGGCTTAGACTTTGGTCTGAAAAGGTGTCCTGGGCCAGCACGTTGAGCCATCTGCTCGACAGCCATAGCATCTTCCATTGCAGTGACCTTCTTTTGAGCATTTTCCAAGGCGGTTGCCTTGGCTAATTTCTCTGCTGACGCCTTTTTCTTTTCAGCTGCAATTACATCCTTTGGGCGTGCTACGCGACTCGCTTCAAGAACTATCTGTCCAGGATGTTTGTTCACATTCCCTGGGCGTGTTGCAGGTCGAGGCATGTTGAGATCTAGGACGAGCTGTTGGAGGAATGCTGGTAGCAAGGTGTTGAAAGAATATGGACCCTAGCAAAAGGTCACCGGCAACGAACGGGTGAAGTTATATTTTTTCGATTGAGCATGTCATAATTTCTAATTCACACACTTAGTATTAGTCTAGTCTCCATTCTACGTATTCTGCTACCTGGTATCCATCTCGCTACTGTCCAACATGGCCCCAGCTGTCACCAGGCTCGTTTGTCGGTTTCCAAACTGCAATCGGGTCTTCAAAAACAAGTCTGGCCTCACTCAGCACACACATGCAAGACACAGCACCCCACAAATACAAAATCTCAATCGCACAGCTCTGCTCGCAGGTCCTGGATTCATACCTCCACGGAGTCGTTCTCCCACTCCAGCAGGTGTTATCAATGAGAATTTCTATCAAGACCCAGTGGGCGACCAAGATTTTGTACCGGAGGAAGGTACTTGGGTGGATATGGGGCGCTTATTCCATACTTTCCATCCACACCTCACAGGTGGGCGTTTTTTAAGGAGTTCATCTTACTGTTACTGAATTTTTGTCTTAGGACTCAAATGCGATGCTAATGGGGCATTTATTGACCAGGATGCACCCCCACCACCTCATACGGATGCCCTCCCAACCGATTGGACGCCTTATGACAATCGTGCTGAATTTGAGATGGCGGAATTCTTATTCACGCGCAATCAAATGTCTGCAAAGCAGATTGATACACTTCTCGACTTGTGGGCCGCGACTCTCATTAAGCACAATGACGCCCCCCCATTTGCAAACCATAGGGACATGTACGCTACAATCGATGCAACACCACTCGGCGATACCCCTTGGAAGAGCTTTACGTTGTGCTACAACGGAGCCAAACCCGAACAAGACATACCGCCGTGGATGGATGGACAATATGATGTGTGGTATAGAGATCCATTGGAAATGACGCGCAGCATTTTGGCAAACTGTGCTTTCGATGGAGGAATCGAGTATTCACCCTACCGCGATTACACTACCGAGGACAAACAATATTGGAAGAACTTTATGTCTGGTGACTGGGCGTGGAAACAGGCAGTACGCCTTTTTCATATTTACATTTTTGGCATACTAACAATCATCTCAAGGATGATATCGCTCGAAATGAGGAGAATTGTGGTTCGACATTTGTACCATTGATTATTGGCAGTGATAAGACTGTTGTTTCTGTCGCTACTGGTCAGACCGAATACCACCCACTCTATCTCTCAATTGGGAACCTTCACAATAGCATATGACGGGCACATCGCAATGGTGTTGTCCTCATTGGATTTCTTGTGATACCGAAATGTAAGTACTTGTTATTCTCAATGCATCACTGTATCATAACCTTCATTTGTATAGCTACGAAGGAACATAATGACGACATCAAATACAGAAATTTTCGACAGCAGCTGTTCCAGCGCTCCCTTGCAAAGATTTTCGAGTCTGTGAAACCTTTCATGGAAAATTTCGATGTCACACGCTTTCTGGATGGCCACTATCGACGCACGGTGTACGGCTTGGGCCCTTACATTGCGGACTATCCAGAACAGATACTTCTCTCTGGCGTCGTGCAGAACTGGTGTCCACGGTGCGTCATCAAACTTTGTTTTGCCTTTTAATGACTTATTTATTATCAAAATAGCTGTCTAGGACATAGGAAGGACCTTGACGGCTCTCAACCGTGTCTCCATTGATGCGAAGCACATACCGAGTTGCTCATCAAACAACTCACATACAAACAGGCTTGGGATGAGTATGGCATCATTGCCGATCTCGTTGTAAGTTGCTCGCTGAAACTCGCTAGGTCCAATCTCACCTTTTTGCTTTTCTAGCCATTTACAAATGACTTTCCTCGAGCGGACGTCCACGAGCTCCTATCTCCGGACATCTTGCATCAAATAATCAAGGGAACTTTCAAGGATCATCTGGTTGATTGGGTGGGAGAGTATTTACTGATCACACACGGTACCTGTCGTGCAGCTGAGATAATGGATGACATTGACCGCAGGTATGCAAATCTATGATGTTTTGCTGATAAGTACTAATAACATACAGGATAGCAGCAGTTGCCCCATTTGCTGGATTGCGACGCTTTCCTGATGGGCGAGGTTTTTGGCAGTGGACAGGTGACGACTCAAAGGCATTGATGAAGGTATGCTGTGTATTCCGTTCCAAATGACATGCGAGCTGACTCATATTTAGGTCTATCTAGCTGCAATTGAAGGTCACGTTCCTCAAGATGTGGTGCGCACATTCAGTGCATTTTTAGAATTTTGCTACACTGTGAGGCGTGAGGCTCTCACTGAAGATGACCTCGTAAAACTACAAGATGCCCTCGACCGCTTTCACCAATATCGGGGGATCTTCAAGACAACCGGTGTGGTCTCAACATTCTCCCTTCCACGTCAACACTCCCTGTGCCACTACATATTACTGATTCGACTTTTCGGCGCACCCAACGGCCTTTGCTCTTCAATTACCGAGTCCAAGCACATCAAGGCAGTTAAAGAACCTTGGCGTCGATCTAGCAGGTTTGACGCACTCGGACAAATGCTACTAACAAATCAACACCTCGACAAACTTGCAGCTGCTCATGTAGATTTTGAGGCATGTGGTATGCTTCATGGCTCTTGTCTGTCCAATGCTTTGGGAGAACTCCAGAGATGTACGTGATCTTTCTCTCTGATGATTTAGCCCTTCTTATACCCCCAATAGGTCAGAATATTCCTGCAGACAACAACTTAGAATCGGTGGCTGATATGGCGCAAGAAGGCCATCCTGGGCATCTGCATATCCACGAGCCTCAAAATCATTCTGTTGAAGTGGATGCTGGTGAGATTATTGATGGACCGGCTGTGGAGTCCCATGTTGGGCTTGCATTAACTCCCCATATGTTAATCGATTTGCTCCTGGACCCTTTCTGACAATGAATAGGTTGTGTATGAAATGTTCATGCACTCAGCCTCGAACTCGACCTTCCACGCCTCCCATTTATGATTCAAGAATTCATACATAATCAACACTATTCAAAAGATCCCAACCCTCCTGAGTTTGATCCGGCAACAGCGCAAGTATTCCTAGGGAACCTTACCATCTTTAATTCTGCTGCAGCCTCGTTCCATGCACCCAGTGATCTGAGTGGTACGGGAGGTATGCGTCGCGAGCACATCCAGGCAACACCATCATGGCGCGTTGGCGAACTGAGGCATGACTGTATCTTCGTCAACATGGGTGTTGACTTCGACTCTCCCATGAATGGACTCGCAGTTGCGTGAGTTCTTTGCTTTTTCTCATTTAACTATCGGATATCATACTATCCCTGCGCCATAGTTCATTGGTACTCTTATGTCCGCAAAGAACACGATCCCGACACAGGCATGTATGTTGTCACACCGGCGACAACTGGTGACGACGTCCCAGACGTCTCAATTATTCACATCAATTGTATCTTTCGCGCTGCCCATCTCATTCCAGTCTATGGCCCGGACTTTATCCCAAAAATAAGTCCACACAACTCATATGACATGTTCGACTCGTACTACGTCAACAGATACGCAGATCACCACGCTTTTGAAATAGCATGATTTGTGGTATGTCTTTCCCTCTCCTTTTGTCGTCCTTTCGCTAACCAAATACCCTATAGATCCGAGGCTCAGCGTATTGAGTACAGCAGGCTCCAAGACCAGGACAATATCGGCATATCGTTCTCCTCCCTCCCCCACGGGTCATCATCTCCACTCGCTGCGTACTCGAACAGTACCATCTTACCAGGTATATTGTTCTCCTCCCTCCCCCATGGGCCATCATCTCCACTCGCTGCATACTCGAACAGTACCATCTTACCAGGTATATCGTTCTCCTCCCTCCCCCACAGGCCATCATCTCCACTCACCGTGTACTCGAACAGTGCCATCTTACCAGGTATATTGTTCTCCTCCCTCCCCCACGGGCCATCATCTCCACTCACCGCGTACTCGAACAGTGCCATCTTACCAGGGAGGCATTTGACTTGGCGAAGTGGAGGCCAAGTTCAACCAGTCGCTGGTGAACCTGGAAGAAGTGTGTGGCACGCTTGCCACTCAATCGATCAGTGAACCAGCTATGCAGATGACACTCAATATGTTCCATTATGCTGGTGTCTCCAGTAAGAATGTGACACTCGGTGTCCCACGTCTGAAGGAGATCATCAATGTTGCTACCAAAATCAAAACACCTTCCCTCACTGTCTACCTCGAGCCTGACGTTGCTGAAGAGAGTCTGCTTGCATACCGTGACGGCAGCCGTGGAGATCTGGTAGGACTCCGTCTTCATAGAGTCATTCTTCGAGGCACTCTTTGGCACGGACGATATGGATCTGAAGGTTTGTATTATACACTTGTACCAAACTGACAGTACTAATTTCGAGTCAACAGTCACTCTACGCTTGAGCCGCGCGCTCCCTTTCGATTCCTGCAAAAGCGGCTCTTTGCCCTCTTCAAGAAGCCCAGTAATCCCACTCCCACTCCCGCTCCCTCTCTCGCCTTCATTTCATCTTCTCTCGCCTTCATTTCATCTGCTCTCGCCATCCTTTCGTCTGCCCTCGCCATCCTTTCGTCTGCCCTCGCCTCCGCTTCTTCTGCCCTCGCCTCAGCTCTGATTGCGGCCTCCACCCGGACAGTCACATCTCCCCACTTGCGCGTCTTCTGTTGCACTTGCACGCGAGATTTTGGAGCCATGCGGTTCACTAGCACCTGGTAAGCAACAATTGACGCGATGATTATAAATTAAAACTTACAATTGATTTTTTTTCTTAGATTTTGTAGATTTTCGCGGTTGATGAGTGGATGCGAGTCGTTGTTTGTCGCGCGTCTATCAGTGCTTGTTCGAGAAAACGCTAACGTAAATAACAACATTGTATATTTTTTTTGGCGCTCAGCAGGTGCTTTATTTTACTTTTGCAAATAAATCTACCTTTGATGCCTTAACCGCCTTGTAACGACTTCACTCCTTAGAATACATTTCGCTAAGGAACTCACTAGTTCCTTATTCTCCTTACCTGCCTTAAGACTATTTTTAAGTAACTTTAAGTACGCTAAGGACCGAAAAGGAACTCAATGTTTTCCTGATGCAGATTCTGCACCCCCAAACAATTGACATTGGCATATGTTGAGGAGGTGGCTTATTTAGGGCATCAGGTTTTAGCCAGCTGTAAGTTGTTTACCCCATTCCACTACTCTCGACGACATATATGCTAGGCTCGCCATTGATACGGCAGCGCTTATGTGTCCACCGTCCTCAAGCTTCAAGCATTAATAGACTTGTTTAATTATTGATTTGCATTTAGACCTGGACTTTACCCCGACCCCACCCGAGAACGATGCACCCGTCTATTGACCAAACTAGGTATTTCAATGCTGAAGGTAAGCATTTCTACAGTGTATGTCACTAAGGGACAGCAACTCTCCCCAGGCCGCAATTTTGATCCATATGTGCTTAGATTGAAATTTTGATAGGAAACTTAGACAAAAGGAGCGTAAATCTAAATTTCCGAAATTTTGCCTGATTACGTAATTGTTCACTTTTGCTGTCGAATGCCTCCTCCTACCAAAAGACAGAAGCAAGCGAAGCAGCAGTATGCTTCATCATCGAGGTGCTTTGACAATGGGCTGATAGAAGATGTTTTTGAAGTCTTTCTGGACCCAGATTATGTGCCTGTCTCAGATGCCGAAAGTGAAGCAGACTCCAAGTCCGACTTTAATGGAGCATTGTCATTCAGTCTCATAGACGGCAATATAGGAGAGGTATCAGATAATGAAAGCGAGTCGGATGATGAAGCAGCTATGGAGATTGTGGTCGAGGCTGAAGAGACAGTGGATTATGCAGAGGGGTGTGCACGGAGGGCAGCAGTATCTGCTCAAAAATTCTGGGCGAACATTATGAGTTCAGTGAGTAATATCAATCAGTGCACTGATATACATCGAAAATTTGATCAGGATGTGTTTTCAGGGGACACGAAGCCAGTGAAACTGCCCAAACGCTCGATGCCAACATACAGTGGCACAGCACGAACATCTACCTATCTTCGAAAGAGAAAAATGAGAGAGGGTGCAAAAAACAATATGACAATCACCTCTTTCTGGGCCCCGAAGCCTCCAGCAAGAGATACTGCAAACGACCCTCAAAATGAGTCCAGATCACCCTCTGAACCATCACCAGCCAGTACATCAGACATCGACATCACCTCCGAGTCTATCGACGAGGTTCCTACCTTCGAAATTCAACAAGAAGCTGCGCATCCTTTCTTGGACATGACAGCAGACGACGATGACAATCATGACTTTACAGAGCCAACTCCTGTCATCGATACTGTCAAGAAACTGATCATCGAAGCGAAGAAATTTAAATCATTCACCTCATTAGTGCATCTGCATGCTCTCAAACAGTTCATCGAGTTGTGGGACAAATACAAGCGGAATCCACACATTAAAGCACCCATGATGAAATCGAGTCACACTGTTGCAGTCTCCATTGGCAAGGGTCCATACATGGCACGAAAGATACGCACACTGTACAAATATGTTGCCCGTTTTCATACACTACCTCCAGTGCGTGCTGGCAAGCACCACGGACACCCATCACTGCTCAATAACGAGCGCATCGCACAAGCTGTGCGTCGCTACTTGACTGTCCTTGCTGATGGCGAGGTGAGTCAGCCAATTCATGGATACTGTCAATGGTTAGTTTTTCTGATACGGACGATAGATAACACCACTGCTCTTAATGAGACAAGTAAACACGGTGATAATCCCATCACTCGGTCTCAACCTCAATGGCCAAAAGATACCTGAGGGTTCAGCATGGCGTTGGCTCGCGAAACTCGGATATGAGCTGAAAGAGGTCAAGAAGGGTGTCTACGTTGATGGTCATGAGCGTGAGGATGTTGTTGCTTACCGAAAACAATTTTTAGAACAGTTTGCTGCGAACGAAAGGTATAAAGCCTGTTATTCAAATGTCAGCATCTTCACTGATATGAGCAAAGGTTTCGTCGTACCTACCGGGATGAGGACCTCGAACCAGTGGAACCAACTCTCGGGCCTGGAGAGAAACTACATGTACCTGTTATGCATGACGAGTCAATTTTCCGTGCTAACAAACTTCGGCGACGGGTATATGTTACCAAGGGGAAGATGCCACTTCGAAAGAAGGGCCAAGGGCGTGCAATCCATGTCTCCGATTTTATCGTTGAGCAGACAGGAAGACTGACACTATCTGAGGAACAGCTGCATCGAAACGCCACACTGCCGGATGGTCAGCGGCTGAGTTGCACAGATTCTTGCGAGATTATTTACCCTGGAAAAAATCATGATGGGTTCTGGACAAATGATAATCTGATGAAACAAGTGTGTCGTGAATTATCCTGGACAAAATTGGAGAATATACTTACAATACATCAAGATTCGAAATACAATCTTGATTTTCGAGCGCATCTATCCGAACGCAGTCGCCGAGTTTGTTTTTGATCAATCATCCGCGCACGGAGCATTCGCAAAGGACGCACTGAATGCAAAGGAAATGAATGTCAAGCCAGGCGGCAAACAGAGGGCCATACACGACACTTACATTCCAATGGACAATCCACATCCAGAACTTCGTGGAAAGCTCCAAAAAATGAATTTTCCATGCGAGCTCCCTCACGATCACCCGGATTACAAATTTCGTGGACAGCCGAAGGGAATGCAGCGTGTACTCGAGGAGCGTGGACTAATTTCAGTCCTGAAAGCAGCAAACAAAGGGAAAGCTGTTGGAGAGTGTCAGACATGCAAATTGTCACGAGAAGCACAGGAAACACTTCGTCGTGAGGCACTGGCAGCAGCGCAGGGTGGAGACGAGCCTGACGAGTTGCATGCGCACATAGCGCGTGAATCTCTGGGTGTCAACTGTTGCATGCAGAAAATGCTCGCAAATCAGCAAGATTTTAAAGCCGAAAAACCATACATACAGCTCATCATCGAAGCAGCTGGACACAAGTGTTGGTTTCTTCCAAAGTTTCACTGTGAGCTGAATCCCATTGAAATGTACTGGGGATGGGTTAAAACTCGTGTGTGGCCGCATTGTCAGCGCTGACTCATTGTGATGTGACGAAATTCTTGCAGGTTTCCGCAGTGCGGCTGATGGAACATTCCTCACCGCAAAGCGCATTGTACCAGAGCTTCTTGATGCATGCCCCATCAAGACAATACATGCCTTTTATCGAAAATCTTGGAGATATATGGATGCTTACAGGTGTGTAACTCAACCAGCTTCATAGTTCCTTCTCACAGTATCCCAGGAAAGGTCTTAATGCGCGTCAAGCTGAATTTGCCGTGAAGAAATACAAGTCGCATCGTCGGTGCGGTCCTACATTGATGATGAACTTGGGTGTTCTCGTCGACTAATTGCGGAGTCGGCTGTCAGATGCCGCATACCCAAATAGGAAACTCCGACACGTTCCGCTCGAAATTCACTTTTGGCTAGCGAAAATTTTGAAACTTAAGTTTTTTGAAAAAGTATTCTGATAGACTTACTATACTACTCTAACATAGCACATTTGTTAGGTTGTTGAGACGAACAAGGTATTTCTGAAGGTGTAGATAGAATTACAAGTTTTGATGTCGGTAGTTGCCGCTTTTGAGTGACATACACTGTATGGGCTTTCGTCTAGGATATGTGGCTCACATCAGGAAAACATTGAGTTCCTTATTTGCTCCTTATTTGTCCTTATATGCCTTAATTCACATAATAAGGAATATTAAGGCAGTTTTTTCACACTTAAAATAAGGAGAATAAGTAGGTCCCTCCTTAAATTAAGGAATCTTCCTTAGAATAAGGAAATTAAGGCAGTCAAAGTGATGTCAAAAAGAGCACTTTACTTTCTACCACAGAGCTGGTTTGAACTCTCAATGATCCAGCTGACCCAGCTGAGATCACATGATCAATTCTCAGACTGTCAAGCAGCTTTACCGGTAGACTACAATACCTTGTACATATGTAGGCAGCAATTGATATATATACCATATCCATTGGACTTAGAATAAAATACAAGTCTACCATTAGGATTTTGATAAGTGACGATGGTAGACCATGTGAACTTTTTCGAAGAAAATCAAAGTTGTAACCCTTGTCAAGGGTAGTCTATCCATAGTCTCATGACATTTTTTGGTTAAGATCCTAGTGAGTTATAAGCAAAATACTAGAAAGTGGTGTGTTCAAAAAAGTTCAGGCACACAAGTAATCTCCTTAATTCTCCTTAATTCTCCTTAGGCTGACTTGCAGCCACCATGTGCCTTAGAATAAGTATAATTAAGTACGAAATCATTCCTTAATAGTCCTTATTCTCCTTATTCTCCTTAGTCAATTTTTTAAGGAAGTTAAGGGACAAAAAGGAACTCGATATTTTCCTGATGCACTCCAGTCGCTTCTTTTATTTGCTTGGGCACATGATAGAGTCAGCAATTTGGTCAAAGTACATACGTCAGAATATCGTGATTGGCACCTTACTGATACTTTCCAGGCGCGCTTGATCATCTCCTTCCGACTTGAAGCCCCCGAGCTCTTCTCTACTGCCTATTCAACACCTCTCCTTGCCACGTCCATTCATTCAGGACAGGCATATAATCACCCCGTGAGTCCTTTTTAAAACCATCATGCTTGCATTGAACAGGTGCCAATCAGTGATATAGTGGCTACTTCCACCCTTCCCTCATGATTCGTTATAACTCCTTTGCTGCCCAAGTGGATGATATGGGGTGGGCGTGCATCTGGCTCGTTCCACTCCACTCTTAAGCACATCCTTAGTCATTTGGCAGAAAGGGCTTGACTCACAGGCACCATCAAAAGTAGACAGCGTGGAGGAGGGCCATCAGTGACGAGTCCATTCAGAAACTATATCAGTCACTCTAATGGCTTCCCTGTTTCCCTCATTTGTGTCATCATTTCTGACAGTTGATGCCTTATCTAACCCGGCATCTATTCTAGGCTATAGTGCTTCTTTCAAAGACAACTTTCCGTCATCGATATCACCGGTCACCGGCACCCACAAGTTGCCTTATTGGTCATTGCAATTCAAATTATTGCATATAGCCATGAGTGCTTGAGTCCGCACGATTCATTCATTTTCCTTCTCCATGGATGAAAATGCATTTCAGACTAATGAGCTATAGGCTGTCTGGGCACTTGCACTGATCATCATTGTATTTCAATATCTAGCATCAAGGACCATGTTAATTGCTAGACGTTTTACATAATTTCAGCTTACCACTTGGTGCAAGCATAGGTGAGTAGCTCACCCTTGGCACCACTTTAAAGAGGTTCACACAGTCTATCAGCTTGGTTTCTTTGTTATGGGAAACTAGGCTGAAAGCCTATCATCCCTTGGAGGGTTCTCCCTCAATTCTACAATAGGATCCTGCCCTCCGGAGGATAATTTTCTCAGGTTTGCTCGGAGGTTCAGGCAGGGGCTCTGGAGGTTCTAAGTACATTTTACATTCCTCCTTGTAGTGCTGTACTTCCTCATTGCCTCTCATCATACAATGCTCTCGCTCCGCCACTGTGTATGTTAGTAGGTTCGCTCGGAAGTTCTGGCAGGAGCTCCGGAGGTTCTAAGGTGTATTCGCTACCTTCCTCCTAACCTCACCTCTCATGCCATACAGTGCTGTCAAATGCTCTCGCTCCCTCATCGGGTTTGCTTGGAGGCTATGGTGGGGGCTCTGGACGATCTAAGGTGTGTTCACTACCTTCCTCGTCATCATACAGCACTGTCAAATGCTCTCGCTCCTTACATTCCCCCTCACCTCTCTCGTCATACAGCGCTGTTCATTGCCTTTGGCTCACTGCCATGCATGTCACACAGCGCGCTATGCATCCACTAGTACCCTCTCTGAGCTTGGGGAAAAGATTCAATTGAGGGTTCTAAATAGCTTTGTTTATTACTAGCTTTGAAAATGATTAGCTTTGAATCAATCTTTTTCAAGTGTTATCGATGCTCATGTCAGGTACATTGTGAGCCTCAAATGCATTTCGTTCAACGAGCGTGTTATGTCAGGTAGCTTGTGAGCCTCGCATACATCTTATTCGGCAAGCCTTTTAATTTTTCAGAGGGTCTTTCTGAGTGTTCTCGAACCTCGAATGCCTCTTGTTCTACCAAAGTTCTCGCTGTGCGAACCTCCAAGACTTCATTTTGTTCAACTGGTAGGACTTGTGATTCATCAGAATATGAAAGTACATGCATAGTCTATCATTGAACGCGACCATGTACTACCATTCAAAAGTAAGAACGAAAGCAAGAATGAGTGACATATGGACATAAACAATATCACAAACATGCAGGCTATCAAGGGCAAGAAGACGAGGCTCAATTATGGACAGACTGTGACAAAATGGACCCCAGGAGGACTCGGATGCACGCAAGAAGTAAGAAAGCGACATCTAGTTACCTTCAGACTGGGCCGGAGAAGAGGAATACTCCATCAGAGAAGGCAGAGGGCTCATCCTAGGACTAGAATGGGGTGTGTGTACATTCTCTGCAGCCTAATATGCCGTAGACCCATACTGAGGCTGCCAACCTTCATGCATGCCACGTCCATCATGACCTGGCGCTAGGTCTTGGTGAAGGTAAGGGATGCGGCAACATCCCACCATTGGACCCAGTCGTCCGACTCGGCAACATCCCCCCATTGGACCCAGTCGTCCGACTCGGCCACATCCCCCCATTGGACCCAGTCGCAGCCAGCTCATCCCACATATCGCCGTTATGAGTGCTGCTGAGGACGAAGAACAAGAAGTTGATGAGCTTGTCAGTTTGCAGCCTGCAGTTGTGAACTGTGAGCCTCTCGAGCCTCTCTCTCATCTTCACCAAAGTAATATGACCTACAGGAGCCTCCGTTTCATCCTCGCAAGCCTCATGAAAGCCCGTCACTCACACCACACATCTGAAGGATACCATCAAGTCCGCGGTTAGCTTGGTCGAGAAAGTCTTCCAAGCTTGTGATGGCGCGTTCAAATACAGACTTGTCTCCATTCCCAGTAGGGCATACCTCGGGGTCAGGCATTGTTTTGGAGTACTCGTCCACAAGGAGGTCGAAGAATCTTCGTGGAGCCTTCACATAGGTCATGAAGTCATCTTTGGCATATTTAACTGCGGCAATGCAATCTTGTAAGGTTTCCCTGACGCAAATGTCAGATCATTTGATATGAGTAAGTTCATGCAGTACGCACATTGGTTCGTCTTCATCGTCCGAAGGTTCATTGTCTTGACAGGATTTTTTTTCTTTGTGCAACTGACGCTGCTTGGCTAGGATAACCTCTCGACACCTGGGGAGTCTTTTGGTCAACTCGATTCCTAGATACCATCACTTCATCACTTACTTTTGATAATGGCGACGTCGCTCTTCTCTTGTAGCTTGTACTCTAGCTTGATGAGTTTTGTATATTGTTGGGTGTACCATAGTGAAAAAATGGGGTGACTATCAGGTAATGTCGTATCGTGAGGAGAGGAGCAACAACGAAGCATTTAAATAGGCCCTTACACTATTTGGATCCAAACAACAAGTCTTCGATTGATGAAGGAAGCACTCGTGCAGATAGTCTCAAAGTTAGGTCCTCAAATATGCCCTTCTTTACTTCGTCAACTCACCTTTCCACCTTTTGGCTGAATGTCCAGAAAGTCATATTCTCAGAACATACTTTCCCTATGGTACAGTCTTCTTCTCTAACTGCGCGATATCGAGAAGTGTAGTCATAGAAGGTACCACCTGCTGCGTGGGGCCGATGCACGAACGATACAAGAGCCACAAGGTGTGGGTTGCAAGGAGAGTCTGAGAGGAAAGAACACAGACCACCGGGTAAGGAACGTAGGTGACCTAGGAGCATCTACAGCAATGTCAATGCAAATGCTTCGCAATATCAGCATGACGGACCTGCAAAAGGGCTGTCTTTTGCTTCGAGCATGTCCCTATTACAGCCCAGCTTTTGCCCTCATCGATAGTCCATTCAACATCACAGAAGACCGGCATGGCGAAACAAAATGATAAATGTTGGACTGTGAAATCTGGCAAGCTTGTTCGAGAGGAGTTGCCGAGTGTTATCGCACCTGTGACATGCTACTATTAGAATATCTACAATATATAATCTTATGATGACCTTGGTACAATAATAAATATAAGATATACAACGATAAATATAGCAGACTGTGAAAAATGCACGCCAAATCGAACCGTCACTAAAGATCCACCATAGCCACTTGACTCCAATCCTCCCACTTCCAGCAAGTCAAATGCAAGTTTCAGTTCTTCGGGCTTGCTGGCCAGCACAATGCCCCCTTTTTTTAGTAAGTCAGATACACGTTTTCATGCAAGTTTCAGTTCTTCAGGCCTGGCAGCATGGTACCCCCTGTTACAAGTAACATCGGCTACATGGCCCCCCTATCATTTTTCCCCTTCATCCTCGCCCTCACATACCTCCGGCTCGTACTTCTCTACCGACTATCTGTTGACCGGATCCTCGGGACCGTTCCCATCCCTCACCTTCCTCCTATCGCACCAACGTGCGCACATGCCTTTGGGCTATGACTCGCTCTGACTCGTGCCACCAATGTGGCTTTCCTTATCTTTCCTCTGACTCATGCGTGCTGCGCATTGTATCACTTACCGTTGGCTCGTTCCAATATTTCTCGGTCTCATTCCACATTCGACCTCACATCACTAATCAGGCTCTGCTGCCAGCGTACCTATACCCTTTCCGTTTCCCCTTTGCCCTTACCTACAGTACGGTAGCCTTGCCCTTAACCCTTTCCACTTAGTATAAGTAGTCGGTCACCTTGTACTAGATTCCCTAACTTGAATCTACTCAATCTTCCCTGGAACATACTTCCCTCTGAAGCCCCCTAAGCTTCAGTCTCTAGTATCTTTTCTTAGGTGCTCATCACGCCTAAGTCTACCTCGATCGACTACTCATCGTTCGGACAAGACTGTCCTTACTTTGAGAATGTCAGTAACTTCGAAGACATCCGTCTTAGAATTCACATGACACGCGCGTCTCTGATATCTGCCGACTTGTTGTCGCCAGTCTCAATCGCTACACCGGACCCTTCCAGTTACGTCACAAACATCAGCGGACGATGCCCCTCTTAGGGCTCTGCATAACAGACCTATTTGAGTGCGTAACACCCCCTTTTTTTTAGCAAGTCAACTACGCGATTTTCGAGTTTCTGGCTGGCGCGATGTTTCGTTTAAGTGGAGTCTTTCCCTTTTCCTCGTGTTGTCTGAATCTTACAATCTCACAGATGCATCGCTTGTAGGTGTATATAGAGGTATAGAGGAAACGTGTATGTAGCACACTTTCCCTCTTCATTCCTACACTAACGACCATGCCATTCGAGATACCATTCATAATCGAATGCGTGTACCCTTTGACGTCCATCGACGTCAATCATGCAGTCTCCACGGCGTCACCAGAGCTCGCCACCATCCATGCAGGCAGCTCAAATTTCCATGATGTAGTCCGATCGCTGGCAGATGAATGCCTTCTTCATTGCTACAAGGGCGTCTATTACAATATACTAGGTGTGTCAACAATAATACTTTGATTTTGCCTTATCACTAACACTATTTTAGCGCAAGTGAAAACCAGGCAGTTACTCTTCTATGTCATTCGTGGTTCCCATATTGGCGTCATGGCAGGCTGGTATGTAATATTTCAATGTTTGTCACATTTATTTATCAATGCAACTAGGGAGAATGCTTTGAACTGTGTTCTGGGCATTGCAAATCCCAATTATCGTGAAGTTGAATCTGTCGCACTTGGGGAGCAACTGGTTAGGGAGGCAATCAATCAAGGCAGGATCGAGATGGTGGAACCGTGGGCATCGTCTTAGTCTAGTCGTTCTGTAGGGTTCTATCAATGCCATATGATCTAAAGCGGCTGTTCCTGCCTCAGTGCCTGTGCGAGGACTCAGGATCTCACCTCAGCTTGAAGCTAAATAGCTACTGCGTGAGTCCATCGATTGGAATGCAGCCCAGTGTAAGCCGTGTAAAAGAAGAGAAGTCAAAAGTCAAAACACCGTTACAGTCAATAGGACAACCCACAAAGGGACGGGAGAGGGACAAGAGGGTATCAGGACTATGTGAGGTTCACGTTGCACCCGAGGCACTGCGGCAGCACGTTGAGGATGACTGTTCTGTACAGCCAAATCTGATCAGCCAATCAGTGTATGGATAACGATGTTCACACATAAAAAACATGTCCCAATACCTCCAATGTACCCAAAAAACCATCTAGTGCACATATTAAGATGCTCCATGACATGCCGGTTCTAATGGTATTGACACATTTTTTAATTTGAATGGTATCTGGTCAAATAAAGCAACTCTTGAACGTTGCCCACTCATTTGTTTCAATTGCTTTAGACTTCTTTACCTCTTTACCTATGGGGCGGAGAGCAAAACACCTCACTCTCACTGATAAAACTGCTGCAACACGTCAACACACAGCAAAGTATAGTCGATCCGATAGGTCCAGAGAACTCTTGCTTTGCGCCTTCTTATCTAAGTACTAACACTGCACGTACAGAGGTAGAGACACTCGTCGATTTTGGAATTTGCGCACATATGCCAAAGCCCACAGTCGAAAGGGTTCAACAAAGTCCCTCACTCTTGATCCCAATGTTGAGCTGTCGTCCCTTCCATCCGATTTAATCAACCTCGCAAGAGCAGATCTTCCAGACACCTACCTGTTTCAACAAGCATCACAAAGTGCTGACAACCTTGACGAATCAGATCTTGCGCAATTGGATGTTGATCCACCATACCACACTCCTTGACCTTTGGACACCCCAGCAGAAGCTCGCTGGACAGAAAACCTTGTCCAGGTGATCCATGGTCGACAATTTCGAATGGAGAAGGAGGAAGTCTATGAGCATGCTAAGAGGCATAGTTCAGGGGGAGCGCTGCATCTTTGTGCCGAGTTGACGGAAGGTCTTGATGTACTCTTGAAGCAGTGGGCAATGTTGCACAAGTATGTTGATGGTATGCAAGATTGCGACAGACACTGCGTGATGGCTCAGTGCCTCCTACAGTGGTGTGCTCGAAGAATCTATCGTTATCATAACGAAGTGCATGCAATGACGACGGGATCGAATCCGTATGCATTGGACAGTAGTATTAACTAGTTAGAGTACAGGAATTTGAAGCACGAGTGTTCTGAGATAATATCAAAATGTGTGCATGTCTCCCTCTCCGAGAGCCGTGCAGTGGTACCCATGCAGTGTCGCTGCAATCACGGCAAGCATCCAGACACCACAGTCAAAGCCATTTGTCTGAAGTGCATCAGTCTAAAACATATAAGCTGAGGCCGTGTTTCGCACCATCAAGGTTGTGACCATACTTACCACTAGAGGACGTGCGAGCCATCCATCGAAGTCGATGTTAACATTAAAAACATGATCATGTTGTCGAGCGATACTCAGAAGACGAGCAATCAATTTCATGATGTCCTGGATGAATTTAGTCATGCCAAAATCTATTAGAGGAAGCTCACGAACCTTGATGTCACTTTTCCATGGCTTCCGCTCAGTGAAGCTGTCAAAGAGATGGAGTTCCTTGCTTCGAAGGTGTACAACACATAGAACCCAGTGGCCGACATCTGAAGGCCTATGGATGGGAAGAATCCACACCTCTTTCGTCCAGTAAGATGTCCAAGACATATTGCGCCATAGAACATCATCAGGGGCATTGTATCGGATGCATGGGAGGTCGTGGGTTGAAAGGATGGCATACTGTTCAACCATTGGAGACAATTGCACCGCCTCTAAGTAAAGAAGCACTGCACACCCATTAATGCAACTGTCATTGAGTAGTGCAGTCCGAGAAGCAAGAAGCATGATATCCTTCGGCTCAAATACTTGACGAGGACATCCAAAGCGAGGTGCAGATACTCGTTCTTTGACGGTGCCTGGAATAATGATTCCCACTTCTGGTAGAGGTGTTCGGTCGAATGTGATGTCCTAGAAGACTCGTAAGCATGGACTATAGTGTGAACAGTAGAAAAACCATGCTACTTCAGGGATTCGCCAACAAAGGTCGGCTCCGGGATCATTCACAATCATGTCGATATCATCATCCTCACCACCAGGGACTCCGGCAGTCAGAATATCTACAAGGGCAGCATCTTCAGGTTGCAAAGCTGTGTGATCAGTGTCAGAAAATATTTCTGGTCCAGGCTCTTCGTCTTCGGTAGGCACAACATATGAGACAGCATATGTGTTGATCCATTGAAGCGGATGCTCCTCCGAGACACCCGAGAGTTTGCAGGCCAAAGATACAGCATCAGTTGTGCGAGATGCGAATCGTGCCGCAGATGCAAGTGAGGATGTCCAACGAGTCTGGATGTACTGAAGGTGCTCCTGTTGCTGGCGAAGCGGGACAAAGAATTATTCATCTGCAAATGCACTGTGAGATCAGACAAGAACAACAGAAGGTATGATACTTACAACCTGGTGTCAAAAGGGCAAGTTCTAGTGCTGAGAGCTCGTTGCCGAACCATCTGCAGAGATTGTCCACCTCCATCCCAAGACGTTGCTGCTCTTCAACACATCTATCTCTCTTCAACATTGCACGAATGCCATCACAAACGTCTTGATCATCCAACCAGCGGGGAACCTTCCCATTTGAAGGTGTAATCCATATGTCTTCCATCAAACTCTGATCATTGTGTAGGTCGGTTAGTTTTGTCGGGAGAGGTGTGGGAAGAGGAATGCCGCAGTGCGGATCATAAAGGGCTTCCAGTCGTTCACAATAGGCATTGGATTTACGTAGAGCAGCCATCAATGCCGGTTGGCGTTTGGCAATTGCTTTTCGAGTCTGCTGGTGGAGTTTTGTGCCTAGTAGCAAACATCAGGTTGAGCTGCTCGAAATCAGATTGTGCCTTACCTAGAGCTTGCTGTGATCCTCCTACTGCACGATCAAGTTTATCCCACTCGAAGAAGCTGCCAATGGCATGCTTGCGAATGTTAATCTTGAGATCGCGCGTTAATAGCAAGGTTTGAATGAACTTGAGGTTCAAGCCTTCTAGTTCCGGGAACCTGTCCTGAACATTGAGCGAAGCATATAACACTTCTACTTTGCACACAAGACACTCGTGTGCTCATTCGAGACTTTCGATTGCATCAAGGGTGTCTTCTGACATCTCGCCTTTTGCAATTGTGTCCCTTGTTGTCTGTAGAGCTTTGTCCGAAGCATCAAGGTCTGCCTGTAGAGCAAGGACAGTGTCTAACTCTTTCTTGAGACGAGCCGGAGCATCTATTGCGGAACATCAGGAGGGCCACGATGATCATGAGGAACATTACACACGAGCACGGATTGAAAGCTGTGACTCCTTCTGCATCGCCCATTCTTTTCGCAAATCACTCACAGGAACTTCACACTCTTCGAGAATGTTTCGGGCATCTGTGCCTTGATCCTCCATGCCACGCCTGAGTCGGCGCCTGATCCATTCCCCAAGGTCAGCATGCATCTCAAGTCCAATGGCTCTAGCATGTCGATCAATCAGCCACAGACGATGTTGCCTCTGTTGTGTGAACGTGAGTATAATTCAAAAGAGAACATAAGTACATACAGAAGATGACTGCTGTATGCCTATCAATTGAACGAACCTCGACCAGAGTCTCTCCGTCCCCTCTCCATCGGACAGGCCTAGACCAATGATCATCCACGGGTTATAAACGAGCTGACAAGCCCATTCATGACCATAGGCATGCATGGCCGTAGTTGCAAACCATAAGCGCTGTAGGATAGAGTTTGGCAAGATGTCATACTAATTAATGTCAGTTTACTACGACAGGCGAAGGAAGTGAGACTGACCTGATTTAACGACCATGATAAGACACATCCCACATCATAGAGGGTGACGACGGTGGCACTCCGTGGCAATAATGAAAAGAGATGGTCAATTAACACAACTGAATACTTTTGTTGCTCGCCAGGACTGTCGATATTGGCAAAAAATAAGGGAATGTCGTGGCGGCAAATCAGCGCCATGAGTCCTGTGTCATCGAAGCTATCCATGGCGGCCTTCTGCTTCTTGCCATCCGCTACCTTGTAGGAGTTTTCACACAGATCAATCGCCTCATTTGGCACATGTGATATATGCAGCTTAGGCGGGGACTTGCGACTTCGACTGATGTGATGACCGATAGCGTCGACCTGCACCTTCGAGAGGAAATAAGAAGGGTCGTAAAAATGTGGTGAATCTCCTGCTGAACGCCGGTGTCAGTGGTGGAAGTTACCGTCAGTAGCAACATGGATGTCACCCCCTTTGTCCAGGTCTCGGCCAAATCTAACACCCGCGAAACAAGTTGGACAATGTTGGATGAGGATCGAAGCACAGTGCTCCCACAGTCCCTTCTCTTCTCTGGCTCCAGGTGATTCAGACCCTGCTGTACTGGATGGTTGAGGATGTGCGGGAGTCGCCCGAAAAGCTTCCACGCGATCACGACAAGTCTGTATGACTAGTTCTAACCAGCGCTCGACCTCTATCTGCAGGACATCGAACCATTGAATGACGTGACCTAGACTCCGCCGGAAAGGTTCTTGAATAATTTCTCCCTGGTTCATGTGAGTAGCTGAACAAGCATACAAAGTCGACTGACACATACCTTTGCATTTGTTATTCAGTATCCTCGTCAGATGTAGTGAGTATTAAGTGCTGATGCAAGTGCATTGACGGCATCACAGGAACGCTCAAAGAGAGAGCGATAGAAGGCGAGCAGCTCAACTGATATGACCATTCGGGGCTGGGAGGGAGCAGTAGGGAATAAGCCGTAGAAAACAAGTGTTTGCGCTAAGTTAGCACATCTACAGCTCATCATATCGATGGAGATGAAATCTAAAAGAAATTAGCTGTTCAAGTCCAAGATTCCATGTATGCGACCGAATACTGACAGTCAAAAAAGAGACAGGTAATAGGTGTGCGTTTTTGTGCACATGTGTGCGAGCTGCACAAAGACAAAACTTTGGGTGTTCATTCGAGAGGCGCTCCTAGCGTCCTTGCAGTGTAGTCTAGTTGGGTCTCGACCAGGGTAGGAATAAGTGTTTTCCAGCTGTCATACAAGCGAGTAGATGTGAGATCAGGCTGGGTACGACGACTCGCTGTGGATTGTGAGGCAGGTTGGGGAGAACAATTGTCGTGAGGCTCAAGGATGTCTTCCCAAGCCTCATTAGCATTTTCCTCGAGGACTGCTGTGTCCGCTTCCATCTCTGCCAGGACAGGTGAAGTTTCTTTAGGCTTCACTGAACCTGCAAGTAAACTGGCCATCTTTGTGAGCAACTGGCGCTGTTTAGCCTTCTGACCTGGCACTTCAACAAGTACCTGAGTTTTTCGCTTGTCTCTGAGTTTCCGCGGGCTGGAACAGTGCGTACCAAGCCCAGATGACATGCCCGGTTGAGCAGCACAGGTACCCGCGTGTGGGGCCATGATGTCTTGGAGGCTGGAGCAGGAGAGTTGAGAAAGACAGCCAAGTAATGAGGGATTGAGGTGGCATCGGATGCTCTGTGACAAAATGTAAGGCAAAGTAAATAGTACGAGGCACCGAGCAACCCGAGGTATTTGATTGTCAATGGGATGCGCAGGAGGAGCACGCTGCACCGGAGCAGTGCAAAGCAGGAGGGCAACAAGGCAGGCTGATATTTTTAGATTGTAGCTATATTTACAAATGGAGGATCCGGGTGCACAAGAGGAACACGCTGCACTGGAGCAGTGCAGAACAGGATGGCAACAAGGCAGCTGCTATTTTTAGATTGTAGCTATATTTACAAATGGAGGATCCTCCCAGATGAGGGGTCTTTCAGCCCGGTTTCCCATAACATAGAAACCGGGTCTGAAAGACCCTTTATTGGCACCGAAAAGTACTGCCTGAGGTGGAGTAGCTACTTCATTCCAATAGCGATGCAACAAGAAATAGGTTTGCCTAGACCTTTCAGATATGCTTGCATTTATGCTGCATCAAAGCACCTCACCTCGCACCCAAGAAGGCCGCATTGTGCCAACCAACACTTGTAATGATCGCTTCATTTCCTTCTCTTCCAGCCTGGAACATGCTCTGCCTAACCCCGCTGACTTGCTCAAACCCGCATTACATCATGATTCTAATTCAACTTCTTGCCGCAGGCTGATGGATGGATGATGGGACACAATCATCGGCTCCTTTTCTGGCTATCCTGAGCTTGATTTGAGCCGCATGGCACATGTAACACGCTGGTCGAGTTGCTGAGATGTGCGAGTTCTTAGTCTTTTCTGTCCTCACAGTTATTAACGTTAATCATGCTAGCTCCACATCAGGAAAAATACCAAATCATCATAGTCATAGTGGCAGCTATATAGTGCTACATAGGCGGTGTAGTACTATGTAGGCAACCAGGCTACTATATACATCAGTAAACTACTTGGCGCTGTACAGTGCTGTACAGCGCTGCACAGTGTGCAAGCTCTACAGCGAGCCCCTTCAGTGACCTAACCCTATAAACATGGTTAGCCCACCTTGACATTTCTTCCATGACACCAGGGCCAACCCACCATGGGCCCAGCATATGTTGTAGGTGTATGTCTCTGAGTGGGCTCCTTGCATGCTGTGTGCCCAGTGGATAGCTGTGGGCTCCCTACCTATGTGATATGTAACTCTAGAGTGGGCCCTTGGGTGTCTGGATGGAGGAGAATTTTATGTAAGGATGGGCCTATAGTACAGCAGAATGGCCATCTGTCGAGACTGTGGGGTGGGCCCGTGGAATTCAGATGTAGCTAAATTACATTCACCGATGGCATCAAGGACGGCACAAAAATTAGAGATACCGGCGGATGCAAATTGCAAACCTGGCGGGCCGAGTGATCAGCATTGTTGCTGACGGCGTGTGCACTCCAAACTCATTGGCAAGTGTCCGCCGGTATAGCAGACGGTACGTCCGACGTCCGGCGCGTGCAACTCGCAACCACCGCCGGCTGAATTATTTCAACTAAGAGCGAGGAACGAATTGCCAGAACTTCGGCAAGTGTTCGTCGAAAAGTGGAAATGGCGAGCAAATCCAGCGCGATGATCATAAAAATGCGCTTCATCGGCGGCATTGCCCGGCGAATGTACATTACCCGCCGGGTCAATCCAATTTCTGGCACACCGGGCGGTACCTCGATGGTGTGTCAGGCCCACAACATTCCAGCACGGGAGCAGGCCCGCTATCGGTGGGCGCCCTAGTACGGTGGGCCCGGATCAGGCTCTGGGCTTCGAATGGGCCCAATGGTAACATGAAAGCAACAGTAGTGGGCCCACATAAAGGTGTGAACTACGATATCCGGGCCCACCCCAGAAATACAGAATAGCGGAGGGAGCCCGCTGAATCTGCCGGAGGCGCATATGGGCCCGATGAAGGTACAACAATTCAGAGAGTGAGTCTGAACAATGTTGGGTCTTGCAGAACCTAGCTGCTATTCGACCCTAAAGGGTTTCTGGACCAGGCTCAAGGCTCAGAGAAGAGGAAATATGATAGAAAACTACTGAAGACTCTGACTCCTACTGGTAACTGGTGAAAAGATAACTTGCTTATGTAAGCTACAAAAGTGCCAACATAAGGTAAGGTAAAAACAGTCTCTACAAGCCCAGCCAGAAATGAATCCCTACATCTCATGGGAACTTTGAATCATGACTGTCCCCAGTCATCTACCTATGCAAACCAAAGCTAAGCTAAACTAAGAAAACTACTAACCTGGGGGTCCTCAAACACCTTTTGTTTCCTTGACGCGTATGCCAGGTAAACTGCGCCAGTGAGTGAGGGTCAGGGCAATCCAATAAAACGATGACCCCAGCACCTGTTTTCCCTGACATCTCTTGTGCCAGGCGAACCGCATCAGTACTGGGGGACTGGTAAAACGATAAAAACGATAAAATGCGAAGTGGTGGTTGCGCGGATGACGACGGGAAGTAGACGGATCGAAAGAGGCGAACGAGGGCTTCGAAATGAGTATAGGGTCGACTAGGTTTGGTGAAGAACTGAGGGAGATATGAAGGAAATGGTGAAAACATGCGAAAATAGCGAAAACGGCGAGTAGCGAGGGCGCGGGTGGGTGTATCGGGAAGCGGAGCGGATGGATGGAAAGCGGCGGTGAATGCGGTCAGAACGCGCCTAAGGCGATGGGCGCGCGATCACGGGGCGACGAGATATAAAGAAAACGCAAAAATGGGGCGCAAAATTTGGGGGGAACACGAAAATGCGGATAGCGAGCGAACAGCTGAGCGCGCGCGAAGGCGCGGATATGCGCGAATGAAAGCCATGAACGAGGGCTTCAAAACGGGTATAGGGTCTATGGGGTTCCGATGCGAAATGGGCTGGTGAAAGTGCGAAAATGTGCAGAGGTGCAAGAGGGAGGAGGAGGAAGGGGTATGGTGCAGGGCAACAAGGGCTGGTCCTATCAAAAAGCGGATTGGGGCAATGGACAGAGCCACTGAGGGATGGTAAATGGCCAAAAGAGCTAGATGAGACAGGCCTTAGAGCACCCAGAAAACCCTTATCTCTCCTCAACTTCTCAAAAACACCAAAAACTCGATAACTCCACAACTACTGCTCCAAATTCGATGAACCAGGGCTCAAAATGACCGGACGGACGTGGGGAATACGACCCTAAGTTTGCGAGAGATCCGCTCGAAAACCGCGTGAGAAAAACACTTATCAATGCGCTGGGGAGGAGGAGAAGATGCTGAAAACTTGGGAATATGGGAGAAGCTGGTAATGAATGACTGTGGTAGGATAATAGGCGAATTTGGGGGATGATTGGTGAGCTTAGAGAGCCTAGAAACACAAGAAACCCTCGCGGTGGGCTCCAGTTGAAGGTACAACAATTCAGAGAGTGAGTCTGAACAATGTTGGGTCTTGCAGAACCTAGCTGCTATTCGACCCTAAAGGGTTTCTGGACCAGGCTCAAGGCTCAGAGAAGAGGAAATATGATAGAAAACTACTGAAGACTCTGACTCCTACTGGTAACTGGTGAAAAGATAACTTGCTTATGTAAGCTACAAAAGTGCCAACATAAGGTAAGGTAAAAACAGTCTCTACAAGCCCAGCCAGAAATGAATCCCTACACCGAGTACATGAGTGCCTGTGTTCAGCGGGGCTCACACCATGTATGACGATGTGAGTGGGCCTGCCAGCGGTATGTGAACAATGGCGGTGGGCCCACATGAAGGTTTGACCTTAGGGACACAGGCCCACCCTAGAAATACAACATGCTACAGTGGGCCCGCCATAGCGTCAGATGGCGGATATGGGCTCGGCTAGATGGGGCGCTGTCTACAGCAAGGCTCACACCATGTATGACACTGAACGCACCGGCCCATATATGCTCCGACATTGGTCATGGGCCTAATGCATGCAGTCAGCGAAGCGGTGGGCCCAGACCAGGACCATGTTATATATGGACGAGCTCTCATCGTGTAACACTACAAATCTGAATAGGCTCATGTAACATCTCACAAATATGGTGGGCTGCTTTCTGGTAAACTGTATATAAGGATGGGCCCCGGCGCCGAAATACAATGAGACATTGGCCGGGCGCCGGGTACACGGTAGGTCCAGAGATAGTGCTGCCACACGTGGCGTGAGTACAAAGCACATCGGTGAAATAACCGTTCCTGGGAAATGTGTGCATAGCGGCGGAACACCGGCGGGTCATCAACTATTTGAGGATCACACATGTCATGGGGTATACAGGGGCAGTACATCATGCCCGTTTTCTATTCCATTGCGATCAAACTAAGTAATACATGCGTCTATAGTAACAGGAAATTTGAGTGAAAACAGTGTACATGCAAGTTAGTCCGCATCCCGATCAGGCTTCATCACCACCGGCAAGCAATCAACCTCAGCTTGAGGAGTGGCCGGGAGATTGGGGAGTGGAAGAGGGGCCTCAGTTGAGGTACCCTCAGGTTGCGCGGCCGGCTGGACAGAAGTGTCATCGGATGGCACCGACGAGGGTGCGGCGCTCGGCTGAATCTCCGTGGCAGGAGTCGGCTGTGCGGTGGCCGCCGATGGGGATTGCACACCCGGATGCGCATTGGTGGGAGGGGTCTCGGCGGTTGACTGAGCGGTTACCGAAAGGACGAGTCGGCGAAGACCTTCAAGCTCATCCGCCAGCAGCTTGGCACGTTCGTCTTGTGCTGCCTCTCTCTCCCGAAGTCGCCGGTCACCGTTGAGGCTTTGCAACAGCAAGGCCTCAACGGTCGCCCGAAGGCCGGCAACTTCATCCCGGAGGTCCTGCAACTCCGAATTGGAGGTACTGGCTGCAACAGCAAGGCCTCAACGGTCGCCCGAAGGCCGGCAACTTCATCCCGGAGGTCCTGCAACTCCGAATTGGAGGTACTGGCGAGTGCTGGCTCAGCCCGATCCTGGGACTGCGCCATCGGCGGCTGCTCCTCCTCCACTTCGCTAACGGCCGGAGCATGCACTGGAGGATCTGTGGGATTTGGTAAGTGGCCAGAGTCAAACGGCCAAGGCTTACCTGCTACCGGCGAGCGACGGCGCCGATATTGAGAGCGCACTCGCCGCGCTGTGACCGACTTTTGCTTCATTCTGGGCGCATCAGACCCTTTGCCTCCGCATCTAATCTTCAAGCGGCTGCAAAGGGCGCAGATGCGTAATTTTCCGCTGTGGTCCTTGTGGTACCCCTGGCGGCAAATGAGGTCCCGTGCGACGCATTGCCCGCAGCGGGGAGCCCACACTACCGCCATAGGATTGGCGAACTCATCCTCCATTAAATCAGGACCGGAGGTGATCTGGCGGACGTCAATGTCATGTCTGCAATGTGGAACTGAACCAGGACTTACCGGCAAGGCAGCAACGGCGGCGGTGGATGTCCTTGATGGTTCCATAGCATCTTCCTCATCGGCGTCTTCATCCATATCTTCCTCAGTGTCGATTTCGACATATTGTCGGCGCGCTGTCATGCATGGTATGTGATTCATACCATGTCAGATATATATAGAGAGTGATAAGGAAGATATGAGAGACTGTCTAGCCCTCTGTCACTGAGTTACCTTTCTATTTTTCCTTTATTTCATTGTCTTGTATTTTATTTCTCACTTTTCAGATTTATTTTACCTTGTATTTTTATGAGCATGTGACCTTCTGTTTATTTCTCATTATTTATTTTTATTTGGCTACTTTCAGCCACAGATTTGTTTGTCAAAGTTTTGTATCTCTATTTATTTCTGACTGTTTATTTTTATTTGGCTTCTTTCAGCCACCAGATTTTATTTGTCAGCACATCATGTGACTGGGGAATATTCTGGTTTGTAACATTATTTAAGCTGACTCAACATGTTTAGTCATGATTGGTCATGCTTTGTAACAACATTCACATGACTCATCATGTTTTGTCATGATTTGTCATGCTTTGTAAATTCTTTGTAAGATTACACTGTATTTGTAATGTACTTAGTAATAAGCTGATTCATCATCTGGTTTGTAAGCCACATTCTTACCAATCCATCTGATAAATCATGCTTAGTAAGGGGGTTCCCAAAAGGTATAAAAGGACCCCATTTTCACCCATAAAATATAACTTCCCATTTTTCATTCTTCTCTCACACCGTGTGAGAGTACGTAAGAATAAAAGTGCAGGCAACGTGCCTTGAAGTAAGACTAAGACACATCATTATTCTATTCTAAAGTTATATACTACCTTACAGGGGTTGACTATATAACTTTCGTTATCGTTATTCTACTCTAGGTTATATACTACCTTACAGGGGTTGACTATATAACCATCGAACAGCTCTCATTCTAAGCTTTACGTGTATACATAAGACTCTCTCTTTCAACGGAAAGTGAGACACATATCTAAGGACGACAAAGTTGAAACAGACTTTCATAGGTTGAAACACGACCTACTAGGCTGAAACAAACCTAACGAATTTATCCAGAACACAGAACATTCCACAACACTTCGTATCAGACTACACAAGAAGAGGACAACAAACTAAATCCTCCCAAGAACTCACCACGTTACCTCCCACGAAGTAGAAAAGTCGGAGACCGTGGACTTAAGGACTGGCAAGAAGTCTTCCCTGTGTATAATTGTGTTGTCATTATACACAACTTTTATATAAGACCCTTAAGTAACAAGACATCACTGGAGCCCACCGCGAGGGAGGCTTCTTCTTGTACCAAACATAACGCAACAATCGTAAACAAAGCACACTTCGTATAAATCACAACAATCGTAAACAAAGCACACTTCGTATAAATCACAACAATCGTAAACAAAGCACACTTCGTATAAATCACAACAATCGTAAACAAAGCCATACTTTGTATAAATCACTCCACCCACACACCACAACATCAACAATCATATCAAAGCAACACAAACAAAAGTCAAACATGACTACACGATCCGTATTAACATTACCTAACCCTGGAACTAAGGCAGCACCTGCCAAATTCAAGGGTGGATTTTCAGAAGTCAAGGACTTTCTGAAACACTATGAAAAACTGTGTGATTATCACAATGTAACCTCTGATGAGGAGAAATGTGAATCTATTACCCAGTACATGTCCCGTCACGTAACAGAATTTGTAGAGGGACTACCCAGTTTCAGATCAAATAACTGGAGCAAACTCAAGGCTGACATTCTGAAGTATTATGATGCAGACCTTGACACGAAGCGATATAGACGTAAAGATTTACTGTCCTATGTAAGGACAACACGAGGAAAGAAAATCCCTACACTCACTGCTTGGAAGAAGTATGTGAGAGGGTTTATTCGTATTGCAGGATGGCTTGAACAAGCCAAGAAATTAACAAGTGAAGAATATGCAAGTTACTTCTGGGAGGGAATTTATAAGAAACTCCGTATTAAAATCGAAACACGCCTCATGGCAAAGGATCCAGACAGAGATCTATCCGAAGCCTTCCCAGTAGACCGAGTTATCGCAATAGCAGAGAAATTGCTACACCGTGACCGGTTTGATGCAGACCTATTAGTTTCTGAAGTAGAGACCGAGTCTGAAACTGACTCCTCAACTGAAGAAAACTCTGATGCCAATACAGACTCAGAGTCTAGTGAGTCTGAAACCGAGTTTTTTCGTAAGAAGAAGAAGGCCCCAGAGCCAAAAGATAAGAAAGTAGTAAAGAAAGCTCAAAAGAAAGCAAAAGGGCATGTCAAGGAAGCCAAGACTAAGACTTCCTCAAAGGATACTAAGAGTCCTGGTATCACTTCACCAGAACCTATGGATGAAATGGAGGGACTCATCAAGAGACTTAATGCAATCTCACTCGATGACCCAGACTATGCTCTGTATTACTACAGGGCAACACGAATTGATCCTACCATCAAAGATATGATAGCAGCCCCTATTTTGAAAAGAGGTAATGCTACCCAAGGAGAATATAAGCCTTACAACAATCAAAATGGACAAAGTAATGTAAGGCAAAACAATAATGCAAATCAGACATTCAGAGGACCACAACCAGGTACTAGGTTCTATCACCCACCAAACACCCCTTTCAATGAACGAACATGCTTTGGTTGTGGCGAAAAGGGGCATGGCATTCCAATGTGTCCACAAATCAATAAACTAATTGCTGACGGTAAACTCCAACGTACACACCGTGGGCAAATCGGAAAACCAGATGGAAGAGCCGTAAGACGGCTACCTGAAGAAACGATTATTGAAGCACTAAAGCGAGAGGACAGTGTGCCAGTAGCTCACTTTATTAAAGTGAATAGCGGAGACACACAAACCTATAGTGCAAATAAGCAAAATAAATTTCAAGAGTCTAGGACTGCATACATTGAAGAGTATGTGAGTTCGGATAGCAAAGATAGTGACACGGACAATTCAATCAACCGGCACGAAGAGACTGATGAAGAAGAAAGTGATACAGATGAAGAAACATATGCATTCCCGGTTGAAAGGGTCACACGAAACTCCACACAAGGAAGACGTGAAAGATTTGAGGAGGTATTCCCTCCAGGTCAAAGCAAAAATCTAAGGAAACCAAGCGAAAAAGATAAAGGAAAAGATAATGTTCCCACCACTCAAGCCAAAAAGGCTGATACTCATACCAAACCTAAATCCACAGAACCCGTTCCAACCACAAAGACAAAGCCCGCAAATAAGAAAGAGACGGGAAAAGGTCTAGATAATGGGTGGGATAGTGAAGACATTGTCATGGATGATGTGGATGAAAGGAAGATCAACGAGAAACACCCAAAGACCAATGAAACACCTTACAAATCAACCCCAAACTCGGATCGTAAGAATATGACAACACGTCAACGCGTCTCCGACATAGCGGCTAAGATTAAGCCAGAGAAAATTCTTGAAACAGTGTTGAGGACTCCTATCCGACTTGAGGTAGGAGAGCTTCTTGGCACCTCTCGTGAGCTTAGCGGAATCCTCGCTAATGCTATTAAACCGAAGTCCTTACCTAATGACTCAAAGATAGAAGCACATTCGGTATGGACAAAGACACGCGGGCTATTAATCAAAATAGCTATGCATTGTGACGGTCAAGCAATTAACGCAATAATTGACACGGGTTCACAACTCAATATCGTAAATAAACACGTCTGGAAGACTATTATTAATAGGCCTATTGATATTGCCAAGTCAGTATCTATGAATGACGCAAACGGTGGTGAAGGCAAACTTCGCGGATTGGTACAAAATGTTCCACTAGATTGCGGAGGAGTTAGTACTCACGCGAATTTGTTTGTTGGCGATCACGTACCATTCAGTCTATTATTAGGTCGTCCATGGCAAAGAGGAAACTACGTCTCCATTGACGAAAGAAAGGACGGGACGTGGTTATTATTCAAAAATCCACTCGATTTAGAAGTCCGTTATGAACTTCTATGCACTCCTGACGGAAATGATCCTAATTGGGACTTTGAACCGTCCACTTGGGTCAGTAATATGGGCGAAACAACCATGTTTTGCGAAATTAATGAAGAATTGCCAAATTCGGAATTTAGCGCGCGAAACTCTAAACTCAAAAGTCACGTGACTAAACATTTGCAAAATGATCTCCGAGCCGAGAATTTTATTGGTAAGAAATTTATCAGCAAAGGCCGGGATCAGTCAGCCAAAATTGAAATAAAAGATTTCTCAAAAAGCATAAAAGAAGGGCCAGAACCAGCGCTACGCCCAGCGCCCACTAGCCTCGTGTCTGAGAAATACAGCGCGAGGCATCCAGAAATCACACACACATCCATTTTTGGTAATCTATTGCGTTTTCGGAAGATGCCGGAACACGTGTTCGACAATACTCGCGCCAAACTGGCCGATTTCCTTTTTGAGAATCCCGGCAATTTCCGGTTCAGCACTTCCATTGAGAATGATGCGCTCACACTTTCCTTCCACGCTACTGCCTTCTCCCCACCTGCCGGCAACGACCAGCTTGATATTCCCTCTCCCTCTTACTCTCCCGTGCTCTGGGAGGAGTCATCTCTGGACACGGACGATCCTGTAGAGGGCACTGGAGTTGGAGACTTTGTTGGAAGGGAGGGTACGTCTTTTTCTATCTTTGATTATATTCAAAATCTAACTAATCAAAACGCTATCTCATATTCACCCCCTCCTCGACAATCCTTGGCCAACGCCAATGCTAATGTTATGCGCGGCACTTACGCCAACGCCAACACCAACCTCGCGCCACCAACGCCAATGGCGCTCTCTGCCCTCGCGCCACCAACGCCAATGGTGCTCTCTGCCCTCGCGTCTCCTCCCAATGCCACCTTGGGTACGGCCGCCACCATCCTTGCACCCAACGCTACCTCTGGTACCGGCGCCACCATCTTTCCACCCAACGCTACCTTGGGTACGGCCGGCACCATCCTTCCACCCAACGCTACCTTGGGTACGGCCGGCACCTCACCTTCGCATATCGCTACTTCGGGTATTGCGACTTGTTCGCTGCCCAATGCTTACTTCGTAC